ACTTGCCTGAGGTCACACAGGTGGGCAGGCCTCCTGTGTTCAGGTTCAAACTTTCTTCCTTTGAATCACCAGAACTCTGTACAGAGTGGGCAATTTAAGGGTGAGTCGACAGGATACTGTGAGTTTCAGGAGAGCCCTGGTGTTGCTAGAGGTATCCAGCAGCCTACTTGGGGTCACAGTTCCTCCAAGATGACAGTTTGAGGCGGGACAGGAGGAAGGTGCAAGTAGATGGGAGACACAAGGTCTACTGTTAGCAAAAGCACAGGTCTGGACCCTTTGATGGCGTTTCAACTCAGAGATCCTTCCACTTGGCCTTGACATCTGTGAACAGGAGGGAGGACACATCAGGACCTTAGAGAGGACATCCTGGCAGCAGGGAGTCCATGGTCATTGGACTTGTGCACCTTCTGAGTGGGATGTGTCTGGAGTGTGGCTGGGGTCCTGAAGGCAAACATGGAGTAGGAAGCACCTTTCTAAGTGAGCAATGTGACCTCCATCTAAGACAGACACAGGAAAGAAATGAAACACTGGTGCTTGGGTCCCCAGCAGAAGTCGGCTCCCTTCCCTCCCCTTTTGCCATGGCTGTGATCACGGCTCTGGTCCCTGGGGCAACCATGTTGCTAAGATTGTGTTTCTCTGTCCTCAGCCTGTGTTTGCAGAACGTTCCCAGCCTCTGATTTAGTAACTTGGACAGACCTGGCTGTCTGGGGGAGGAGGGCTTTTTTCCATGGATCATGGGAGATTTGGAGGCCCTGAAAGGAATAAGCTTCTTACTGTTGCTTTGGGGTGCCATTGAATCCATTTCAAGTCATAGCTACCCCTTGTGATATACAGCTACCCCATAAGATTTCCTGGAGTCCTGGTGTGGTGCTATAAGATAATTGTTATGTGCTGTGGAGTCAGTTCCGATTCATAGTGACCCTGTACAGGGTTTCCAAGGCTGTAAATCTTTATGGGAGCAGAAAGCCTCATCTTTCTCCCGCGGAACAGCTGGTAGTTTCAAACTGCTGACCCTGAGGTTCGCAGCCCGATTCGTAACCACTATGCTACCAGAGCTCCTTTGCACTAGACCAAAAGGTCAATTTGAATCACACGGTCAGTGGTTCAAACTCACCAGCCACTCCTTGGAAACCCTACACAGGGTCGCTATGAGTCGGAACCAACTCAATGACACTTAACAACAACAAAAATTTCTACAGGAGCAGATCACCAGGTCTTTCTCCCGCCAAGCCTCATTGCCCTTGAAAGTGTATAGTGAGAGTATGAAGAAATAGAGGGCAGACCCTTGCTCCCACCTGAATCAAATGTCCCTGCTTCACCTAGGTGGGCCAGAGAGAAGACTCCAGTCTTTGATGCCACCCACAGGCTGGGGTGGGGGATACACCATCCCTCTGGATGAGACTCTTGGTTGGTGTGTAGGGATCAGTGGGGACAGGACGTCTGTGAGTCGTCGGGTACAGAGTATTGAGAGCTGTGTTGATAACAGCAGGAAATGATGAAAACAACTCTTCTCCACACACACAGCAGTGGTTGTGCTGGTAGGACTCACTTACAGAGCATATGCACTGATTTTTAAATTTTTAACAGCTTTTTTTGAAGCATGATTTACATGCCATACAATTAGCTCACTGTAAGTGAACATCAGCTTTGCTTTCAGGATGTTTTTTTCTTATTCACATCTGTGTTCACTTGATGTCTGTCCCTTTAGAAGATTGTGTATTCAGTCCACCCATGTGTGTAGGTTCATGGGTCTCTCGTAACCACTCAAGGGTCAGGCTCGAATCCGCCCTGTCTGTTATTGTTGGAAGAGTCCCTGGGTGGCACAAACAGTTAAGCACTTGACTACTCACTGAAATTTTGGTGGTTCAAACCCAAAGGCATCTTGGAAAAAAGACCTGGTGGTCTGCTTCTGAACGATCACAGCCTTGAAAACCCTATACAGTAGTTCTACTCTGACATACACGTAGAGTCGCCATGAGTTGAAGTTGAAATGGACTTGACAGCTGGCTTGGCTGCTATTGTTGCTGGTGTCAGAGTGATGTGGGGGTCACTGCTCCATGACCTTCAACCGGTCACGCACCATCTCTTGACCTCTTTTTCTCATCTGTAAAATGCTGTGTGTCAGAACGAGGTGATGTGCATGGTGGGCTGAGACCCCAGAAAGCACAGAACCTGTGTAGTTCTGAGTTTATCTGCTCAGCATGGAGGACTTGGCAGCCTTCTGTGGACTGGACTTGAGGGAGTCTTTTGTTGGCGAGAAGGTGTGTGTCCCGAGCGCTCAGTGAGTGTTTCCGATGGTGACAACAGCCCCTTCCTCTCCATCTGTGCTCTCCATGGCCTGATGAACTAGGTCAATGGCAGTGTCCCTTCCTGTCCTGACACCCAATCTTTGGAGTAATTGGGTCCATGTTCCACTGCCCCCATGGCAGCCACTCACCCTGCATCCACCCTGGCCCTGACCCTCAGGCCTGTGTCAGGGGCGAATCCTTGGGGGAACTTACAGCCTTTTGAGTAGCTGTTGATCCTGCGTTCCAAAATACCCCTTGTCAACTAGTCAGAAGCCCCTTCTTTCTAGCTCTCGTCACCCTCCACCCAAGCTAGCCACACAAATGGGGCCGTTAGGATCCATTTGGTCTTACCCGAGGTCTGGCTCCATGCTTTAACAACCTACCTGGGCAGCCGTCCAGATGAGGCAGCTGGACAGCTGGAGGAGGTGTCTGATGCAATAAGGGCTTGTTTGGATCATTTATTTAACTCAGATTCCTTGAGCACCGACTCTGGGTCTTTGGCTTTTGGCTTGTCAGGTGTCACATCCCATGGGCCATGGTTCCTTCGAGCTAACTGTATCTCCCTCTGCACCCCTGTCCCCAGGCTGGCCTTGCCCCTCACTTCTCCCCAAACCAGGCTCATTCGTGTGTCCGGCCTTTATCCATGGCTTCCCCTTCCTTTGCCTCGCGAGACCCCCTCCTCATCTCGCTGAGCTCATTTCAAGTGCTACCTCCCAACTAGGCCATCTCAGTGCCATCATCCCTTACCATCTTTCTGCTCAACTCCTGTATCTACTGGCTGGATAATTTCATTTGGCATTGAAGCATGTAAGGCCCGTGTGGTTATTCAGCTGTTTTTTGTGTGTACAACTTGTTTCAAGCTAGATGCTCAGTGCCTGGGAGGCAAGGAGCATGGTTGGCGTGGTTGCCCTTTATTTATTTATTGTTTTTGGTAGCTCCTTTAATACCTGGTGCAATGCTAGGCATACAGTAACCAGCTGCTGCCAAGCTGATTATGACTCGTGGTGACCGCATGTGTTGCCGACAAGAACTGTACCATAGAATCTTCTTGGCTATAATCTTAATGGTTGCTGTGAGTCAGAATTAACTCGACAGCACACTTAACAGCAACAATTTTAACAGGAACAAATTGCCAGAACTTTCTTCCATGGTGGGTTCAAACCACCAACCTTTCAGTTAGCAGTTGAGTGCTAACTCTTTGCATCACCCAAGGACCATTCTGGAGTCCTGGTGTAGCGCTGTGGGATAAAGCACTGGACTGCAAGATTGGTTTGAACCACAAAGTCAGCGGTTCAAACTCACCACCTGCTCCTTGGAAACCCCATACAGGGCTGCTATGAGTCGGAACCGACTTGACAGCACTTAACAACAACAAGGGACCATTCTAAGCATAACCAGTTGCCATGGAGTCAATTCCTACACAGGGAGACCCCAGGTCTGTCAGAGTAGAATTGTTAAGTGCCGTCGAGTCGGTTCCGACCCATAGCGACCCTGTACAGGGTTTCCGAGGGTGTAAATCTTTACGGGAGTAGAAAGCCTCATCTTTCTCCCGCGGAGCAGCTGGTAGTTTCGAACTGCTGACCTTAAGGTTGGCAGCCCGATTCGTAACCACTACGCTACCAGAGCTCCTTGTCAGAGTAGAATGTTGTTGTTGTTGTTGTGTGCCATCGAGTTGGTTCCGACCCATAGCGACCCTGTATAGAGTTTCCGAGGGTGTAAATCTTTACGGGAGTAGAAAGCCTCATCTTTCTCCCGCGGAGCAGCTGGTAGTTTCGAACCGCTGACCTTAAGGTTCGCAGCCCGATTCGTAACCACTAGGCTACCAGAGTAGAATAGTGCTCCATAATTTGTTTTCAAACGTAGATCACCAGGACTTTGTTTGAGACACCTAGGTGGACTTGAACCGACAATATTTAGTAGACATTTAATATTGAAAGGAGCAGGGAGGAAGTGAAGTGACTGATGAGCTGAAATAGCAGATGACAGAGTTGATCGTTAGCTCTTTTGATGACCTCTCTAGGATGTGTGCTTGGTCTCATTGCCAACTCCCTGATAGGAGCACAAAAGTCATTACTTCCACTGTTGTTACATTTGGCCCAGAGAGATTGAGACTCTTTCTGAAGGTCACACAGTGAGTTGGTAGAATCGGCTGGGAATTAACCCAGGTGCCTCAGCCTCTGTGACAATCATGGGGTGTCCTTTCTGCCCACCAGCAGATGCATGACCAAGAATGTGCATGTGTGTGCCTGTGTCTGGAAGGAGGCAAGCAGAGCCGACAGTTGTCCAAGAGCAGGCTGCCAAGTCCTCAGAGTCATCATTGTTGGACACATGTGACTTTGTGTGTGGCCTGTGAGGCTTTGGCAATCATCAGACTGCTGGCCACAGTCCCCCAAGCTAGCCTGACAGCAAGGCCCAGCATGGGTCTCAGGGTTCCCAACAGGAGCCTGTGGCCCCAGGGTCTGAAAGCTCAACCTGGGGAAGAGGCTGCAGGTTTCTTGGGACCACTTTGTGGGTGGCTGCCTGTATGCATTGTCTCATTGACCCTTGAGCCAATTCACCCAGAAGCCTGGGCATCAGCCACAGTCCCCCTCGCCCCTCCCCAAGCTTGCTGTTTCTGCTCCCCCTGTCCCACGTGGTTCCATGTTTGGGAGGATCTGGTGGAGGGCTCAGGGACAGGCTGTAGCTGTTTCATGCTCTCCCCACACCTTCCAGCCGGAGGAGCTCACCAACGCACTGGAAATCAGCAACATCGTATTTACCAGCCTCTTTGCCCTGGAGATGCTGCTGAAGCTGCTTGTATATGGACCCTTTGGTTACATCAAGAATCCCTACAACATTTTTGATGGGGTCATTGTTGTCATCAGGTAAGACTGCCTTTCCCCCAGAGACATAGTTGCAGAAAACAGCGCCTGTGATCTCTCACAGCTGGGGTTGGAAACTGATGGCCAATAGATACTGCTTACTGGTGTCTTCCCTCAAGTGGTGCCCAGAGCACATGCCATACGAGGAGGCTTCAAAATGTTCATGGCAAATTTGGTTTAAAAGATAATAGAATTTTCTGCAAATTCTATTATCTTTTAATTCAAAAGGTACCTACCGTACCTTAGCTATGCCTGTGCCCTCCCGGCCTCTTTCTGGAGGTCCAGAAATGCCAACAGATTTGGTTTGGGGTGGGGAGCCATGCAGCCCATGCCTCTGTGTGTGTGGGGTGATGGTCAGGAATCAGGCTTCACAGCTCACAGGACCTGTCCCCCAATCCCAGTGGTAGGGGAACCTCTGTGTCCCCACGTTCTACTCCACCCTCTCCCTCAGCCCCATCTTGCTCACTTGGTACTTGGGATCCTGTTTTCTTTTGGCCATGCTCCTCCTCAGTCTCATCTCCCACCCCTATCCATTGCCCTTTGACCCTCCCTGGTCTGGGATAGGTGAGGCTTGGGGAGTTGGCTTTGGAGAGGCATCTGAGTGGTCCCTGCTTACAAAGTGTTTGGAATCTCAGATGCCAGCAACTTGCTTTAGGGTTTCCAAGACCTTGGGAAGCTGCTCTGTTCCCCTACGCCTGAGGCCATGAGAACTGCTTTATTGCTTTCTGGAATTGGCTTTAGATTTCATTAGCAGAGAACAAACCAAATATTCCATAGCCTGATGTTGTTGAATTGGTGGGGTTTGGGGAGACAGTGTCTGCTGCCAGGATGTGACCTCTGGAGAGAAGGGGAAGGTGGCCTGGGCTTCCTCAGACCCTCACTAGCTTGGAGTTACAGCCAGGAGGCCAGAAGACTGTGTGGGCCACATTTTCTCAGACTGAGAGGCCAGTCTAAGCCCTCAGGTGCTGCTGAGCTCCTCCAAAGGGGAGGCCGATGCAGAGGCAGTGGGCTTAGGCTCCTTGCCCCCCTTGCAGCGTGTGGGAGATCGTGGGCCAGCAGGGGGGCGGCCTGTCGGTGCTGCGTACCTTCCGCCTAATGAGGGTACTGAAGTTGGTGCGCTTCCTGCCGGCGCTGCAGCGGCAGCTCGTGGTGCTCATGAAGACCATGGACAACGTGGCCACCTTCTGCATGTTGCTCATGCTCTTCATCTTCATCTTCAGGTGAGGGCGGTGCGGGTTCGCATGCTGCCTGGGAGATGGGTCAGGCTTAGGGCGAAAGGGCAGAGGGGCAGGGAGTGCTGGCCTGACCCCACCTGTAATTCTGTGTTTTCAGCATCCTGGGCATGCATCTCTTCGGCTGCAAATTCGCGTCTGAGCGGGATGGAGACACACTGCCAGACCGGAAGAATTTTGACTCCCTGCTCTGGGCTATCGTCACAGTCTTCCAGGTACAAAGAGGGTAACAGGGCAGAGGGTGCTACTGTGGAGGCTGATGAAGGCCCTGACTCCTGCCCTCTGCCCCGCCTCATCTTTCCCACAGATCCTGACTCAGGAAGACTGGAACAAGGTTCTCTACAATGGGATGGCCTCCACATCGTCCTGGGCCGCACTCTACTTTATTGCCCTCATGACCTTTGGCAACTATGTGCTATTTAACCTGCTCGTGGCCATTCTGGTGGAGGGCTTCCAGGCAGAGGTAACCCCTTGCCCTATCTCATCCACCTTCACCCTGCCCACACAGTCTTACTTCCAGGACTTGGTCACCAAGTCATAGTGACCTGAGGGGTCTAGCAGGAAGCACTTTTCAAACTAAGTCAGCGGATTTTAGGTTTCACGCAGCCCCTTATCACTTGGGAGAAAGAGTGGTGGTGCGGGGCCTCTGAAGAGATGGTTCCCTGATGGGTGGGCCTTCCCTGGTAAGTGTCTGGGGTACACAGTACAGCTGGATCCCTGAGTAAGAATGTTTTCTGGGACTTCAGAGAGAACCCATCTGAGCTAAGAGGTAGGGATGGCTTGTGTGTAAGCCGTGTGCACTCTGACTGAGCTGATGAAGATGCCACTGGGTCCCAGGCAGGGTTGAGCTGCCCAGGGTGAGAAATGAGCCCAATTAGCTGCAGGCATGGCAGAGATGAGTGTCCTATTTCCAGCTCTGGCTGTCACTTTCGTCACAGGCAGCGTCATCAATTAATATTGATTTACATCGATCCTGCCCTTGCCAGGCCGGGGTACAGCCTTTGCCTGACAGACTTGTTGCCTTCGCATCCCCTGCTCTGCTGCTCCTCCCCCAACACCGTGCCTTCAGGCCCACCCCAGCTCCTCTGCGCCTTCACAGTGCAGACTGACCCAACCTAAAAACCCTCTAGGTTGGATGTGGAGAAGCTCTTGGTCCAGTTCTCTCTGGGTGACCCGGATGGAAACTCCCGCTGTGGCCTGGTCTATAAATACCCAGCTCATGGTGGAAAAACAAAAATCTATTTTCCGACTCCTTTCCCAGCCCTGCAAGGGAGGGCTGTTCCCTGTGGGCCAGGCTGGGATGGTGAAGTGCAGTCTGTCTGTCCCACACTGCCCTTTCTCCACTTCCGTTTTAACTCTGTAGTTATCCGTTAGCGAATTTCCTTCCACTGGCTGGTAGTGAGGGCAGCCTGGCGGTGGTGGTGTTGGGGTCTCCGGCCTGGGCCCCCTGATGGGAGTAGGGTTGTGGGCACCCTCTTTGGGATGAGACATTCATTAACTTGGGGTTTCCTGGCCTGATACTTAAAGGGTGACACACGGCTCCTATTAAAGCCAGTGTCTCTAGGAAATCTATCACCTAGCTGCTGCCCTTCACCAGTGGGAGGGGGACTCAAGTTGCGGGGAGATCCCTCCAGTCCCTTCTAAACCAAAGCTCCTGAGGGCTAAGACTTCCTCAGAAAAATTCCTGTAGAGGGAACTGGAAATCTCCCTGAGCCTGAGCAGAGACCCTCCCCTTAGCAGCGCAGTGTGGTGTCCAGTTGTCCTGCAGGGACCCATTGCAGACAGCCCTGTCCCCACCACTCAGCCCTTCCAGAAAACACCTTGTTAAATTGAGTGCAGCTGAGCCGACCCTGGTTGCTAGGCAGCAGCCAAACCTGAGTGTGGGAATGAAGAACTGCAGGGCCGTCTGACCTGGTCACTGTGGCTCGGCCGGGGGCACGTGGGCTGCCCGAGCCTGAGGGGCAGCCTCACCCTCTCAGGCCTTCAGAGTATAATGGCTGGGGCGGGCAGGGGTCTCTCCCAGGGCACAGGACTGTCTACAGGGCAGTGCTTCCAGTGGGGCAAGTTTGATAAAGGATTTCAGGATGAACCCCGCCATCCACAGAGTGGGCAGTGGCCAGGGCCTGAGTATCCATATGAGAGGATACTGTGACTGGCTGACCATGCCTGGGTGGGACCACCTGCCCCTTCCTGTGTGGGTCTCAAGGGGGGGCAGGAACTAGCACTAAAGGAGGCCCTGTTGTATGAAAGGGGAGGTTGGTTTTGCTGGGGGGGGGTGTTTGTTTTTCACAAACAAGACATCCTACCTCAGCGCAGGAGGTGGCTGTCCCCATTTTGTCCACAAGCAGGAGGGTTCAAGAATCTCCCCCTGCTGGTCCAGCCACCTGCCAAGAGGTAGAAGGGGGTGGCCCAGGAGTGGGCTTGCTGGCTGTTGGTTTTCTGCTGGCAGGGGGCAGTGTCCTGACTCCCTGAGTATTTATCATGCACACATTTAATTAAATGAGCAGGCAGCAGGCCCGGTATGAGGCCATTAATTGATATTAAACAACATCACAGCCGCCATTCCACTGTTGCTTGTCACATCCCATCCCAAATGCATCAGCCCGACTGATGGTGATTTGGAGGGACAGAGGCGGAGCCTGTGAGAAGTGATGGGCCTGTTTAGTTTCTTCCTTAGTCACCAACTTTCACCCTCCTTCCCAGTTTCCTGCTCATTTTCCAAGCCCACTTCCTCAGTGCCAGGGAGAGGAGGGCTGTATGCAGGACTAGAGACTTGGGGATCAAGTCCCAGGTCCACTTCTTGTGCTCTGAACTTTTCCGAGCCTCAGGTGCCTCACCTGTAAGACAGTGATGGAGTACTGCTTCCCACCTTGGGAGGACTCGAACTAGCATTAGTGAAACAGTTAGCGCTGTGTCCAGCATATCCTCCACACGGAAGCTGTCACGATCAGGGTTGCTGGAGACTCTTTTGTCTTTCCTGCCCTGTCCTCCATCTCTGCCCTCACCTTCCAGAATCATTCTGGCCTGAGGGCCTGAAGTTGAATTCTGGAAGGCCTTCCTGTTGGCATTCCTCACTTGCCATTTCTCCTGCTCTGGGCCCACGGCACCATTCCTCATTTCCATCTTCTTTCGAGGCCCATATTTGAAAGCTCGAGCACCGGTGACAGCACCCCTCCCCACCTCCCCCTCTCCCTGTAGGAAATCAGCAAACGGGAAGATGCTAGTGGACAGTTGAGCTGTATTCAGCTGCCTGTCGACTCTCAGGGGGTAGGTACGAAATCCTGAGTCAGCATGCCCCCTCCACTCCGCCCCCGTGTTTCTGTGCTCATTGTTCACGCTCAGCTGCTGTGCAATCTGTGGTGGCCGTGGTGGTCATTGGTGTTGTGAGGTTTGCTTCCATTTTAAGTCCCTTTTCCCATGAGGACATGGAAGGGGGGGATGTCTCTTTGTTCTGCCCTTTCTATCCACAAAGGGCTGGCCAGAGAAGGAAGGGACTTAGAATCCTTTGTGTGTACCTATGTGGTGCCCCCATGCGTGTGGTGTCTGCCCTGGGTCCTGGAGGAGTCTGAGACATCAGGCCTCAGTAAGACTGGTGACAATGACCGCAGACCTGCTCACCATCTCTCTGCCCTTTGCCCTGAGTCCCTTTTGGAGACCCCAGAGGCTGCCTCAGCTCAGGACTAGTCTTTGGAGCATGTAAGGATGAGGTGTGGCACTTGCCAGATGTACCCAAATGTGAAGTCCCTTCTGAGTCTCTGGCCTCTGAACCACCCAGGAAGTCCAACTAGGCCTATCAAGACATGCTCCTCCCCAGCCCCCACTTTGAGCCGGTGACCTGCTGTTCCCTGCACTGCCACCATAATTCAGAGCGAACCCAGGAGTCCTGTGGGACCTCACAGTGCTTTGCATCCCGAGCAGCCCCCTGGAGATCCCACTTGATAATTAAAGGCCTCATTAGGGATGTAAACTAAGTTAATGAAAAGGATCCCCTGAGATGCCAATTACGCAATATTTATGTCCTTATCAAAAGTAGCAATCAAGTATTTTTTAATAACTTCTTAAGGAGAAGTGTGTAATTACTGGGGGACCTACTGACCTGCTAGGAAGGAAGAAAAATCTGTCCCAGACCCAGGGAGAGAGGTAAAAATAGGGCCAGGGGAGGAGCTGGGGCTTGGGGCAGATGGAGGAAGAGCTAAGGGACTGAACTGGTGTCCTTGGACTGAGCTGCTCTGTCTGGGGTCTTTCCATTTACTTCCACGGTCCCCAGGTCTGAGGCCCAGGAGAGGGCAGCTGTGGAGGGGCGGCAGAAGGGCCTCAGTAGCCTTAGGGAATTGAGCTCTGATGATCACATCACTTAGGTCTCCAGCCTTCTCTGGCCTGTGCTGCCTACCAGCTAGCCTTTCGTCCTCAGCCAGGCTTGGCATCAGTCCCAGCCAGGCTAGTTGGGCTGTGGGCTTGGTTAGCCATCTCTGAGGTGTGACTGGTGGAGGCAGAAGCATCAGGGCCCTGCACCGGTGCATGCTTTGTGCCGTGGTTGCTGGTTCCGTGGCCTATATGTGGTGTGTGTGTGTGAAGAAAGGAAGACCTCAGCCATCCTGTCCTCCCCCTACCCCAGCCAGGTCCCTAATTGCTTGCTGCTCTTTGGCCCTAGGGAGATGCCAACAAGTCTGAGTCAGAGCAGGATTTCTTCTCGCCCAGCCTGGACGGCGATGGGAATAGGAAGAAGCGCTTGGCCTGTGAGTACCTGTCCTGGGAGTGCTGGCCCTGGGCCTGGACTGACCCCTGGTGGATTGGGGGACTCTCCCTCTCTTCCCCCTGCAGTGGTATCCCTGGGAGAGCACCCCGAGCTACAGAAGAGCCTGTTGCCACCTCTCATCATCCACACGGCTGCCACACCCATGTCGCTGCCAAAGAGCTCCAGCACAGGCCTGGGGGAACCTCTGGGCCCCACCTCCCGCCGCACCAGCAGCTGCTGGTCCGCAGAGCCTGGGGCTGCCCTGGAGATGAAGTCACCGGTAGGAGACACACATGGACACCACAATGGGCGCTGTACAGGGGGCAACGGGAAGAGAGATGGAGGGGGCAGGCCCAAGGGTTAGACAGAGGCTAGAAGGAGTCTGTGTGTGTCTTGGCAATGCAGACAAGAGGAAAAGCCCTAAAGTTGGAGGCAAAGATGAAAAAAAAAAAAAATCTTGCCTTTTCTGTTCCCTAACTGAAGGACCTTGGGCAAGAATCAAAGGCTCTGAGCCTCCTTAACCAAAATCGGATCACTTGCCTACCAAGTTTATTTCAATCCATGGTGACCCCATATGTGTCAGAGGAGAACTATGCTCCAGGGATTTTTAATGGCAATAGATCATTAGGGCTTTCTTCTGAGGTGCCTCTAGAAGGGTTTGAACCTGTAACCTTTCAGTTAGCACCATACGTAATCATAATATTAGCAAGCCTACATCTAGTTAATGACTCTGGACCAAACGCAGTTCTAAACGCTGAACATAAATGTTTTTGTGCATTCAATCCTCATAGCGATCTTTGAAGTAGGTTTACACGTTGTTCTCATTTTATAGTCTCAGAGTGAAGTGACTTGTCAAAAATTCCACAGCTAGAAGGCAGCAATCCAGCATTTTAACCCAGGAGACTGGTGGCTGTGCCCATGTCTCATCGCAATTTTATATTGACTTTAAACAGCTGGTGGTAACACTTCTCTTTTACCCACGACATGAGGCCCAGAGAGGCTTAGTAATTTGCCCAAGATCGTATGGTTGGTTGGGATGAGTCAGGACCTGAACCCAGGCTGAATCCAAGTTCAAGGTTTCCTGCTTATGCCTGGTGTGGTGCTGGGGAGACACACAGGAAATGGGAATGCATTTAAGGGGGTGCAGGGCCCAATCCTGGCTGAACCCCATATCCTCGGCTCACCCCACCTCCCAGCCGAGTGTCCGTAGCTCCCCGCACAGTCCTTGGAGTGCAGCAAGCAGCTGGACCAGTAGACGCTCTAGCCGAAACAGCCTTGGACGAGCCCCCAGCCTGAAGCGGAGAAGCCCGAGTGGGGAGCGGCGGTCCCTGTTGTCCGGCAAGGGTCAGGAGAGCCAGGATGAGGAGGACAGCTCAGAGGAAGAGCGTGCCAGCCCGGCAGCCAGTGACAGTCGCCATGGGGGCTCCTTGGAACGAGAAGCCAAGGGCTCTTTCGACCTGCCGGATACCCTGCAGGTGCCTGGGCTGCACCGCACGGCCAGTGGCCGCAGCTCAGTGTCCGAGCACCAGGACTGCAATGGCAAGTCAGATTCAGGGCGCCTAGCCCGGGCCCTGCATCCCGACGGTCCTCCGTTGGATGGGGATGATGCTGATGACGAGGGAAACCTGGTGAGGCACTTGTGGGCCCAGTGACCTCTCACCCCTGACTTTTAGAGAGATGGGAGCTACAGGGCTAGACAACCCATCCCCAACTTTTGTGGCACTCGGGATGAGAAGGAGTGGGTGCTCAGGCCTGGAAAAGGCTCCACACAGCAGCGCCTAACTCCCCCTGCCTGTCTCTCTCTGCTCCTCAGTCCCTGGTGGATATGAATGGTTTTTGGGCAGATGTGTATGAATCTTTCATGGTCCTCCCCTGTGACTCAGAAAGACCCATCACTCATCTCTCCAAGCTGATGGCCCCTTCCCTGTCCCCTGTTCTCATCTCAACCTCATCACGAGCCTCAACTTCACACTGTTCTTATCCACTCACACTTCCTCTAGGCCTGGGGATGGGGTGCAGGGGTCCAGTAGCTCAGGGTTAGCATATGAGAAGAAGGGGTCAGCATCTCTGTGGACCCCGTGGGCCTCTGGGCAGACCGTGATGTGTACATATTTGAACACTGATGCAGCCTCCAACCTCAGTGGGAGGAACAGAGGACAGGCAGGGGCTGGGCTGGAGGCAGGGAAAGAAAACCTAGAGAGTCATGGGGCTGAGAGTGGAGAGGGTGCCGGGCAGAAGAGGGAGGGGATGAAGGAAGTAGGGATGTTTGGGAAGGAGAGCTAGAGGGCAAGGCTTTGATGGAGGTGGGGAAGTGGTTTTAGAAATCAAGGAAAAGAAGGAGGGCAGAGGGCTGGCCAGAGGTAGGAGAGAGTGGATGACTTGCTGCTGGGATGAAGAGAGGGGTGAGGATGAGGAGGACTAGACCCCCGCTCATAGTTCCTGTGCTGTTTCCACAGAGCAAAGGGCAACGAGTAAGGGCATGGGTTCGAGCCCGACTCCCCACCTGCTGCCGCGAGCGAGACTCTTGGTCAGCCTACATCTTCCCTCCACAGTCAAAGTAAGTGACCCTGACTATTCCTCCTCACAGGAAGTTACCCAGACAGGGGCAGGGTTACTAGAAGTGGTCCCCTAAGGTGGGGTGTATGAGTGAGGAGCTGGGTGTCAGGGGTCATGGTTGGGGACCAGGCAGGGTGGGAGGCTGTGGGTGACGCCTCTCACTGCTGCCCCTGCTGCCATGCTCCCCCTCCCCCTCTCGGCCTTTGCCTCTGTTCTGGAGCAGGTTTCGCTTGATGTGTCACCGGATCATCACCCACAAGATGTTTGACCACGTGGTTCTCGTCATTATCTTCCTCAATTGCATCACCATTGCCATGGAGCGCCCCAAAATCGACCCCCACAGTGCTGTGAGTCACTGGGACTATATGCATCAATGTTGCTGAGCACGTAACTCTGCGTGGGGATGGGGCCAGGCTCCTCCCGGGCATTTGCACCAATACAAGCAAGGAAGGCAAGAGGCCCAGAACCGCAGGGTCACACAGCTGAGGAGGGAAGGTGCCAGGATTCTAGCTTAGGTCCCCCTGACCCCATCCCTTGCTCCTGGAACCCCGAGATACCTCCTGTGTTCATCCCTGTCTCAGTTTCCCTTCTACAATATGACCGCTTGACTGGGGTGCGGCTCCTGCTCCTTACCTGGATGAAGATCTCAACTGAGTTCTGTGTTATTTACAGTCGCATGTTCTTGTGAGTGAGAGGGTTGGAGGCACAGGTGTGAGTTCCACGTAGGTGTTAGGGTGACTGGTGCCATGGGATGGGGGGTTTGGTCCCACATAGGCATTCTTGCAACCCCTGCTCCTGGTCATGAATCGTGCACAAATTGAGGGAAAAGGCCTTGTCCAGCCTGCCTTGTGGGGGTTGAAGACCAGAGAGAGGGAAGCTGCCCTCGGTCTTTCTTGGTTCTGCCAGATTACAGACAAGTCAGTTTTCAGGGGCCTTCTGCTCGGCTGGAGTTGTAGTCCTCAGAAGAGAGGAGAGGCCAGAGCAAGGGCCTAACCTCATTGGGATGGGCCCAGCTGGTTCTGAAGGGCTATGTCTGCCCCAGTACCATAAACCTGTCCCCTTGGGCAGCAGTTCAGGTCCTACCAGAGTGGGTGGGGTGCCTCTGTTTCCCCTCATAGTTTGTGCACCTGCTTGGGGGTTGCTAGAGGTGCTCCCCATTGCCCCTCCTTACTACCATTCATACCACTGTTTAGATTGAAATGCTACTGCTGCATCTGTTTTCCACTAGGGAAAGCTTCAGGCATGCCAGGGTGGGGATGGAGGGAGCCCGAGCAATGGAGAGACTGACCCAGGAATAGGTGGCGAAGGAACCCCCGTCCTGCTTGGTGACTGGTCACACTCACACCCTGGTGTCTCCATCGTCTCCAGTCCTCCCCCACCTTCCCTCACAGATTCTCTGTCACTCTCTCAGCCGGGGATCTTTCTCTCTCTGGACCCCTCTCTTGGTCACCCCGTGGTGGACTCAGTCTCAGGGGACAGGGCCATGTTCATCCCGCCCCAACTCATGCACCGGCCCCCTGCTTGTCCTGTGAGTCCATTTCTGGGGTGCATGTCAGTAAGCAAGGACAAGGGACACAGAGACAGAAAGGGTAGGAGGTGGTCAGAGACCAAGTGAAGTCCTTCCCAGTTTTCAGAAAGGAATCAAGGAATAAGGCCTGAGATGTCAGATTCAAATGACAGGTGAAGAGATCACGTTCTCCCTTGGTCACACCACTGGGGAGTCTGTTCAGGGGCAGGGCTGAGACTGTCCATGGAGGTGCAAGCCAGCCAAGGGTGATCCTCTGACTGATTTACATGTGTATCCACAAGTGTGTGTGTGTATCTGTGTCTGTTTGTCTGTCTGTGTCTGTGTATATGTGTTTGTGTCTGCCTGCCTGTATGTATGTGTCTGTATATCTGTGTGTGTTTGTTTGTCTGTGTATATGTCTGTATATCTGTGTGTCTATCTGTGTATATGTTTGTCTGTCTGTGTCTCTGTGTGTGTGTCTGTATATCTGCGTGTTTGTGTCTGTGTGTATTTCTCTATGTGTTTCTGTGTGTCTGTCTGTCTGTACATTTGTGTGTGTGTCTCTCTGTCTTTGTATCTGTGTGTATATCTGTGTCCATCTGTATATCTGTGTGTCTACGTATGTGTGTGTTTGTGTGTCTGTATATCTGCGTGTCTGTATGTGTGTGTATATATCTGTGTGTATGTATCTGTCTGTGTGTATTTGTCTGTACGTGTGTGCATATATCTGTGTGTGTATCTGTCTGTGTGTGTATTTGTCTGTATGTGTGTGCATATATCTGTGTGTGTGTATCTGTCTCTGTGTGTATTTGTCTGTATGTGTGTGCATATATCTGTGTGTGTATCTGTCTCTGTGTGTATTTGTCTGTATGTGTGTGCATATATCTGTGTGTGTGTATCTGTCTGTGTGTGGGAGGGTGGGAGTCATTTTCAGTCGAGTGCTGAAAGCAGCTCTGTGTGTAGAACCAGCCTGGCCCAAGGAGGTGGGGTTTCCTGGTGGCCAACACATGCCGCCTCTCTCTTGCAGGAGCGCATCTTCCTGACTCTCTCCAATTACATCTTCACCGCCGTCTTTCTGGCTGAAATGACAGTGAAGGTGATGGTGTTTGGGACCCTCTGGTTCATGTGGGGGTGGAGGCATCAGACCTAGCTGAGGGTGGGAGGAGTGGTTGGCCACAAGTGGGGGGCAGGGGTAGAGGCTGCTGCTGAAAGCGGCTGGTGACGTGGCCGGGGGTCTCCAGGTGGTGGCACTGGGCTGGTGCTTCGGGGAGCAGGCGTACCTTCGTAGCAGCTGGAATGTTCTGGACGGACTGCTGGTGCTCATCTCCGTCATCGACATCCTCGTGTCCATGGTCTCCAACAGTGGCACCAAGATCCTGGGCATGTTGAGGGTGTTGCGGCTGCTGCGGACCCTGCGCCCGCTCAGGTGACCCCCCCCCCACTCGAACAGTCCATGCCCCTCCCCAACACTGTGTCCCCTTCAGGGGCACCTCCAAGGGAGCACAAGTCTTCACACTCCCCTGCCTCTTACCTACCCCAGGCAACAGGCCACCCTACAGCTACTGTGTTTTACTCTGTCACATGGGTCACTGTAAGTCAAAGGTCTCCCTGACAACACACAACGACAGCAAATCTTCCTCCAAGAGTACACACACCTGCTTCCTCCTCCTGCCCAAGATAGCACACTCTCGGGGCTCACACAACTCAGAGACCAGAGATATCCTAATACCCTACTATCCCGCACCTGAAGCCTCCTCGAGAGTATCTTCAGGGGTGGCACTACCCCTTCCTGTGAGGTACCAAGCTCCTCGTGCTGCCTTTTCCACACTGAACGCCCCTTTCGGGAACTTGGAGCAGGGCAGACATCTGTCCTCTCAGGAACCCCTCTGCAATCCAGCATCCACCATCCCCCGTGTCAGAACTTCTCTTGGATGGTGTCAATACTGACTTAGTGTGAAGTTTCCGTCCTACTAGTCCCCCACTAACTCATCACCCACACGCCCCCCAGCACACTGCATCCCTTAGGAACTACCTCCTTGATGTAATTGCTCTCCCCACACCAGCCCCAGCAGATAGATGTTTGACATCTTGGGAGTGGAGAGGGGGCATGTGGGTGTGGGAGTGTGCAGTACTGAGAGAGTAAGTAGAGGGAGAAGGAGAATCCTACAAAAAGCCGACAGCCAACCTCTTACCTCTGCTGAAATTCAAAATGGAACTAGTGAGCCAGGATGGGGCTGGGGTATCAAAGCCGGGGGGCCCCTCTCACCCTCCCTCCGCCCCCCCCCCCAGGGTAATCAGCCGGGCACAGGGGCTGAAGCTGGTGGTGGAGACGCTGATGTCCTCGCTGAAGCCCATTGGTAACATCGTGGTCATCTGTTGTGCCTTCTTCATCATTTTTGGAATCCTAGGGGTGCAGGTTTGTGGGGGTCCATGAGAGCCTGGGACCGGCTATGGGTGAAAGACTGAGTGCCCCTTCCCACTTCCCTGCCCCCGACCCCGTGCCCTGGATACCTGGGTTCTGAGATACAAAAGACTGCCTCTGCTTTATTCCAGAGAGGAATAAATAGGAACACTTCCCTCAGGGACCTGGGCCTCAGGCCCCATTGCCTCCTGGACTTTTTGCAGAAAACTAGGAGCCTAGAATAGGGCCCCCAGGCAGGCCAGGGCCTCAGAGAGGCTGCCGGTCTGCGGTAGCCACGGTTGCTGTTCCTGCCCCTCTGCAGCCCCTTCCGGGAGCTCTGAGCTCCAAGGTTGGCCCACAGTCCACTCTGGGATCTCCTCCCTTCCTCCCCTGCCTGACCACGGTGGGCTGGAGGCCAGGCCCCGGATTCAGGGCCCAGACAGCTGGGTCAGGTTAGCAGTGTGCTGGCAGGCAGGAGGGTGCAGACCCCAGACGAGGCAGGAAATGGGGGCTGCTGGGGAACTTGGCCTTCAGCCCAGGGATGGAATTTGGCTTTGGTGGAGGAAGAGCGGGAGCTGTCGGCAGAATCCAGTGAGTGCCCGAGGGAGCCCTTCCAGGGGTCCTCCAGTGCCTCCAGCTTCAGGGTAAACAGATGGCTGTTGGGCAGCCTGGGAGCTTCTGAGTGCCTTGGCCCTTCTCTCCCCCTCCTTTTCTGGGATGTCCATTTGGCCCTGGGGAGGGGCTGATTCCCAGTTTCCTAGAAATTCTCTAGCCCTGGGAACCAGGCTGGGGTACATTTGCCAAAGTGGTGTGCTGCCTCTATGCAACCCCCTCCACACCGCACCACCCAAAGCTTCTTCCTCCCTCATTTCCCAGCTTCCTTGGCTCAAGAGTGAACGATTGTTGAGTTCAGTCCTGGATTCCGGGTAGATTTAGGCCTGTCCCAAGGGGCTGAGTCTTGGTGTGGTGCTGTAGAATAAGCACTGGACTGGTAACCAATTCAAGATTGGCAGTTCAAACCCACCAGCCGCTCCTTGAAAACCCTATACAGCATCTCTGTGAGTCAGAACTGACTCGACGACACTTAACTAGGGACTAAGAAATGCTGCTTACTCAGGCCCCCAGCCCTTCCTTCCCTCAAATCTCTTTCCCACCAAGACTCCTCTGACCTGGGCTGGAATGGAGTGAGGGCGAGCTTTGCAGTAAGGTAGTCCTCTCTGCACCTACTGGATAGGTGCCTTCTGGGTAGAATTACCTTCTCGGAGACTTGTTATTCTCATCCGTAAAATGGAGTCGATGAGACCTGAGTTTCTGATTTAGTGGGTCTGGCAGTGCTCCCTTGACTTGATTGCTCAGCCTGGGATCAGTGAAGTCAAGGGAGCACTGCCAGGAGCCAGAGCCCTCAGAGAAGGGAAGAAAGGCATTCAGGAGACAGGGAAAGGTGCAAGAGGACTCAGAGTAACGCATTTTCTACCCAAGGCTAAACCAGTGGTTCTCCAAGGGGACCTGGAGCAACAGTCAGCACCTTCTGGGAACTTATTAGAAAGGAAACTTCTCAGGTCCACCCCAGATGTGGGGGAGGTGGGGGCAGGAGCCCCGGGTTCCTGCGATCACAGCCTACTTCTCTCTGTCTCTGGGGGTGTGTGTCTCTCCACCTCTCCATCCAGCTCTTCAAAGGGAAGTTCTTCGTGTGCCAGGGCGAGGATACAAGGAATATCACCAATAAGTCTGACTGTGCTGAGGCAAGTTACCGGTGGGTTCGGCACAAGTACAACTTTGACAACCTTGGCCAGGTGAGCCCCAGGTTTTTCGGTGGGGGGCAGAGTTTCATGCTGATTTGACTGGGGTTGGAGAACGGGGAGAGAGAGCCAGGTGTGGTGGTCGAAGCATCCTCCGTTGTGGTACCCCTAACGTGCCACAGTCCATCCGAGAGCACACTGATGCGGGAGCCCACAGGATCCTTAACCCTCCTAAGAGATGGAGAAGGGGCCCCTGGGTGGTACACGCTTACCCAGTGGTGCCTCAGAAAACAGGTCTGGCGACTGGCTTCCTACGGAGCAGTTCTACTCTGTCCACATGGGGTCATCATGAGTCGTATTGAGTCAGAATCAACTCTATGGTAACTAATAGCATCAAGCCAAGGACATGGAGACTCAGAAAGGGCAAGGGACTTGCCCAGGGTCAAAAAGCTGGCATGTAGCAGAGACCCAAGTCACCTGTGCCACGTGGGTCAGGGCAGGCTGTCCTGGATGTGAACCTAGCGCCATCATTTACTAGCAGGGGCCTCAGTTTCACCCTCTGGGGAAGGAGGCCACCACAGTATCTGGCTGGAGGATGGGAGTAAGGACCAAAGAAGATGAAGTGTCTATGTGCTTAGCATGCTGGTATATTTAAAGGTTATTCCTGTTCTCACTCCACTTCCAGAAACAGAAATGGAGAACATGCAGTAACTCATTCCATTTTGCTCGTTTGTTTTCCAGCTTCACCCTGGTTGTTGCTTCTGGATTTCCTGGGTTTGGGTCTCTTGCCCTATCAGGCTAAAGCTTGTTGTTTTTGTTAGGTACCTTCGAGTCGGTACCAACTCATAGAAATCTTATGTACTACAGAATGAAACACTGCCCAGTCCTATGCCAGCCAAGCTCAGAATCCTTGCTACGTTTGAGCCCATTGCTGCTGCTACTGTGCCAATCCATCTCCTTGGGGGTCTTCCTCTTTTTCATTGACCCTCTCTACTTTACTAAGCATGATGTCCTTCTTTAGGGATTGGTCCCTCTTGATAATATGTCTAAAATGTGAGAGCCGAAGTCTGGCCATCCTGGCTTCTAAGGAGCATTCTGGCTATACTTCTTCCAACACAGACTTGTTTGTTTTTCTTCTGACACACCTTAGTCCTCAAATTGACATCTTTACTCTTGAACACGGAGCTCTGGTAGTGTAGTGGTTACGAATCGGGCTGCGAACCTTAAGGTCAGCGGTTCGAAACTCCCAGCCGCTCCGCGGGAGAAAGATGAGGCTTTCTACTCTCGTAAGGATTTACACCCTCAGAAACCCTGTACGGGGTCGCTATGGGTTGGAACTGACTCGACGGCACTTAACAACAACAACAACTCTTGAACACATTAAAGAGGTCTTGTGCAGGAAGATTGCCTAATGCAATCTGTGTTTGATTTTTTTGACTACTGCTTTCATGAGTGTTGATGGTGGATCTTTCATGAGTAAAATGGTCTTTGACAACTTCAATCTTATCTCCGCTTATTTTGATTTTTAAAAAAAATACTGGTGGCATAGCTTCCAGAATCACAGCAACACGCAAGCCACCACAGCATTGTGTCATGTGACTCCAGCTGACCTCTGAAGGGCTGGGCCTCCCCAACTTCTACCAGGAGGCACTTGGGAGATGCATGGTGAGCGGCTCTTCTCCTTCTTTCCTGGCTTTGCAGGCCCTGATGTCACTGTTTGTGTTGGCCTCCAAGGATGGTTGGGTGGACATCATGTATGATGGACTAGATGCCGTGGGCGTGGACCAGCAGGTACAGGGCTGAGGCGGGCAGGGTTGGTCTGTGGGCTCAAGTTCCTCAGCATGGTCTAACCTCAGGGATGTGGGCCCAGGCACTGAACAAGAAGAGCGCAAGGCAGGCTAGCCAGAGAATGCCAAAGCCGCATCAAGTGTTCTAGCATAAGTTGTAAGTGGTGGCCTGTAGGCTGACTCTGGGCATGCTTTATTGATCCACAATATACTTAATTTAAAAAAATTTTATGATACACATTTGAGTATTAGTGAATTTCACATAAAATTCCAGATTTGGGCCTGCTCAGGAGAAGTCTGAAAATCTAGAAACTCAGGGCTTATATTTCCCTAGGGTAGGAGTCAGCTGGAATAAAGAAGAGCAACTGCCCCTTTCGGTTGCAACATGCACTTCCGGTTTGCCACAATCCCTACCCCTCCCTACTGCCTAACACCAAACCCCCATCATTCATTCGCATGGCCTGCTGGGTCCTTGTAGTTGTTGGAGTTTGTAGGTTTTGTTTGAAGGTCAGGCGAGGGGGCAGCACCTGAGACAGGACATCATCGGGCTGATGCTGCCCCCTGTCCTTCCTACTCCCTACCAGCCCATCATGAACCACAACCCCTGGATGCTGTTGTACTTCATCTCATTCCTGCTCATTGTGGCCTTCTTTGTCCTGAACATGTTCGTGGGTGTGGTGGTGGAAAACTTTCACAAGTGTCGGCAGCACCAAGAGGAGGAGGAGGCCCGGCGGCGGGAGGAGAAGCGGCTTCGGAGACTGGAGAAAAAGAGAAGGAGTAAGGAGAAGCAGATGGCTGGTCGGTAGTCTTTCCACATATCTCTGGGTCGTGCTTGACCTTGGTCTTGTGACTGCAGGGGGCTGGGGGCTGGGGTTGGGGGCAGGGAGAATGCACTCCCACCCCCCCTCCTCACCTCCTTCCCCCCCAGAGCATGTCTGCCTTTAGAACCCGCATGAAGCAGACCAGTTCAGCCCCGTAGAGGAGGGGGAGCTGCCCCTGTCCCAGCGAGCCCCCTGGACTCAGCATCGTGCTCCCCAGATGAGGCCAGGTGGGAGTTTCTGCATGGCTCTTCTAGGAGCCTCCTGGGAGGGGAAGCTGATGGGACACTGCTCTGTACCTTCATCGCAGAGGCTGGCCCTGGGACCAGTATTGTCAGACCTGTGTCTGGGTCAAAACCTGCACATGGACAAAGTGTGAGAGAGCCCCAGGGCCACCCTCTTTCCTCCCGCTCTCCAACAAAACAACTTACCTTGTGATTTTTTTTTTTTGCCACTGGGGGTGGTGGTGGTGGGGCAGTGGCAAGCTGCAAAACATTTCCCTCTCAGGCTCAGGGAAGATCTGAGGTTCCAGGAACTCTAACCTCAAGATTCTTCTTGCCTGACCTTTGACACTTCAACCCCCTCACCTGTGAGCGCCAACACCGTTTGGCACTGGAGGGGTGAGGCCCCTTCCACCACTCTGCAGGCTTTGTATGCCACAGGTGGGCCAAGACCAGGAGTCCAGGAAGATCTTTGTTTTGCAGTGTGTCTGCACCTGACTCCTATCTGTCTGCCACTCACTCATTTTCCATGACTCTCTCCCTCTCTCAGCCACTGCCCAGACCTTTCCCTCCATGTCTTTATGAATGGGTCTCTCCAGGCCTTTGTGCATCTGTGTGTCTGTCTGTTGGATCTACGGGTTTCCCTTACTCCTTCCTCCCTTTCATCAGCTGTCTCCCGGGTACAGATGAGGTGTGTGAATGAGGTGTGTCGGTACTCTGAGTTTTCTCTTTGGCTTGGTGCCTCTAGCTCCTGTTGCCCTGTGAGCCGTACCTGGAGTGAGGGTAGAGAGTGCGGATACACATGGAGCTGAGCTCAGGGAGCCTCAGCAGCCCCACCTACCAAGGCCTCCTACTCAGCTCTGGGCTAGGGATCTGTCTGTCTCTGTTCTTCCTGTGGCCTCACTCTGTTCCTGCTCCGTCCATCCCACCCGTCCGCATCTGTCGCCTCAGCAGGGCATTTGGACTCCTTTGGCGGGGGACCCTGGGCCCTGCCTTACCAGGTGGCTCCCCTTCTGAGATCTGTAGCCAGCTGGGGAGCTGCTGAGGTCATGGCACATGGACAGTCCACCCCTCCCACTGTCTTCCCTGTGACCCCGATGAGTCTTCCTTAAGTGCCCTGTCCTCTGAGTTTGGGACTTACGCTCAGAACCTGTGTGTGTTCAGTGCACGCTGTTCCTAGGCACAGTGAGGGTTGGAGCTAAGGGGACCCTGCCCAGCCCACCTGGTCCGGTCAGTGACCAATGTCGTGTTTCGTTCTTTTAGATCTAATGCTGGACGATGTAATTGCCTCCGGCAGCTCAGCCAGCGCGCCGCCAGGTACTGCGTCTGTGGTTATGGGGTCCAGGGTGTGGCCGGGGGGTGGTCAGGCTCTGCCTGTCCCCCAGGCCTGCCTCACGCCTGGGGAGGTGCTATTTGCTCCCTCTCCAGGGCTCATTGAGGGTGAGGGTCCCTGGGGTGGCCCCCAAGAAGTCAGGAGCCGGACGCTGGGCTCTGCCTCATCCCATAGACCTTTGCTAAACTGGACAGGAGGTGAGGGTCCAGGCAGGCCCCTCCCACTGATACCTTTTCGAGGACCTTTCTCTGCAAAGGCCCAGGACTGGAAAATCCTAAAATGTGGGGTCCGCAGTGCAACAGGCAAGCCCCCTGCTGCCACAGCCCACTCCACCCCCTTTCTCTGGATCACACATTCGATTATTAGAGCTGCAAATCTCTCCTGCCAGCTTTTGTCTGAAGGGGAGACTTTGATCCAAGGGAACAAGATGAGAGGAGCAGAGAAGGGAAGGATTTGTTTTAAAATGTAACAATGAATAATTGAAACAGACTCATTAATAGTCAAGTAACCACAGTGTTGACATCGTCACTACAAACAGTAGGAATGGGAAACCAAAGGTCTGAGTTAGCCACATGCTTCTCCCAAGAAAGTTCAAGATTTAGGAATGAGTTGGGTCCCTGTCTCCAAGAGCTGACTCTCTGGGAAGACCCTCCCTGGTCCCTTGGCCCAGCCCCCTGCTCCCCATTCATATCCCTGCTCCAGATAAGGGTCCAGAGAATCTGTGATGAGGTGGTGGGGCCTGGTTACGTCTCTGATGTGTCCACCTCCCAACCTGTTCATTGCTGAGGGCCTTTCTTATCACTGGTTCCCATAGACCCTAGGTTTTGAGATGCTCTGAGGTTCAGCGCATTGCATTTACCATTCTTACCCAACAAAGGCACATCTAATTGCTAATCAGAGCATCTGAGTGGCCGAAGGTTACCACATTGAACAATGGCAAAAAAAGAGACACAATTTTGTCATTAATTGACTCTGTGGGGTCTTACTAGTCAAATGTATGACTTCTTATATAAGCTTTTAGAAATACTGAAAAGAACCTAATTACCCTCACGTGGCTGCCTTCTCAAACTGGGCCTTTGGGCTGGGGACCACCAGGGTGCTCCCTTCCCTGCTGTTCCTACCGTCCCCCCTTTCACCGCAGACACCACCCTGCGGGGTTGCGGCTGCCTGATCCATGGCTGGTCAGGGACCTCTGGGGACAGGGCTCCTCCCTGAGGACCTCAGAGGGTTCATGTCACCTGTCCTCATGCTGCTGAACTGTGGAGTTTGACATTGACAGACTGTCTCTGGGGAAACCGGGGTCTCCAGCTGATATGTATCTGGATTGCTTGGGTCCTCACAGCTCTGTGTCAGGCTGTGCTGAAAATTCCTGATTTGTTCAGGGGTGAGGGGAGTGGGGAGAAAGTGACCTTGCATTTTTTCTATATAGGTCTACCTGGTTTATAGACTGAAATGTCCCCACGTACTCACTCACCCCCAAACACCTCCCCTAGCACAGGGCTGCCCTCAAAGGGATGTGTTCCTGAGCCAACACATGGTATCATGATCCCAAGAACTCCTCCTGGCACACCCATACAACACTGAGCACTCTGGTTCCTCTCCCACTGTACTCCCAAATTCAGGACTTTCCACCATTTCCTTTTGTATGCCTGGTTATCTGATTGCAATTGTGGGCTTTACCTTCTCAGATTGGAATGAGGACTCAGAGACCCCAGGTAGGGGCCCAGATTGTCCTGTATCCCCACCCTTGCACCTGCAGTTCTGTGTGGTCCAAACCAGAGCTGCTTAAACATCATTGTTGTTGTTATTGTTTTAGTGACATCAAGTCAGTTCTGTCTCAGAGACCCTATGTAGGGTTTCCAAGGAGCAGCTGGTGGGTTTGAACCATCAACCTTATGGTTAGCAGTCCAGTGTTGATCCTACAGCATCACACCAAGACTCCTTAAACATCAGGGTGTGTTGGAATCACCCAGAGAGCGTAGTGAAACCCAGATTCCCAGACACCCACCAGACATGCTGAGAATGGTCCAGGGTGGGACCTAAACAGGTGTATTTCCATTAGCTCCCAAGTGATACTGATGTACTGGCCTCCCCAACAGAATGGTGGGACCAAGTCAAAATCCTTACTCTGAGGATGCTGGGAACCAAACATACAACACCTCCTTGCTGGTGCCACTCCCACCTGGGCTGCTCTTGTCAGGAAGGGGCAGCCAGACCCCCCAGAAAAGGCAGAAGGAAGAGTCTTGGATTGTCAGGCCTAGCCAGACATTGGGTCCAACACAGCTGCCCACCTGGAGGTAGAGATGGGACTGCTGAGGAATCAGGTTAGCCCCAAGGGACAGCCTAGCTCTCAGCCCCACTCTCCTCCGCTCCTGTACCATTTGTCTCCAGAGTGACTGCTCACTCTCTCTCCATCAGGATGAGGCCTAGTGACTAGGCTGGTATCTGCCAGGGTGGGGGCCTGTGTCCCTGAGAGTGAGCCCTGCCTCCCAGCCATTCTCCTTGCTAACTGTCTGACCTGTTGGTGTCTCGGGCCTCTAAGTGACCCCTACTAACTCACGACGCCTGTTGCTCTCACTCGACCCCTCACCCCTTCTCCCAGCACTGGGGGCCCAGGCAGCCCTCAGGATGCCTTTCTCCCACTGTCTGACCCTAGTCACACTGGTGAAGGGCTGGGAGATGGGAACAGGGACAATCCAGTGACCACCCTTCCTAGGCTGACCACAACTCTCACAGCAACAGACCCCCAGAGGCTCCTCCCAGATTCTGCTCTCCCAAGAAGCCAGACACTTGCCCACAGAACTGAGACCTGGGGAGCAGCAAGGTGGGCTGCCATCAGCCCCCAATGGCAAGAGCCTTTGGGAAGACCATCTGAGGGCATCCTCTGGGCCTTGTGCCCTAACTCACCTGGCAGCTGGCTGAGGGAGACAGCAGGGAGCTCCTGGCTCAGTCACTGCCTTTCGGTGTGCAGGATAAGTCACAGTTTTCTGGGCCTCACGCTCTCCTTCTGTAAAACAAGTGTTGGCCGGGGAGATTCTGCTCAGGCTGGCCTTGATGCTCTTTGAACCTATGCGTGTTCTCTCTCTCTTGAGGGATTACTGGCAGCTGCAGCACTTGCTGGAGGGATGTGGGGCAGGGGTGAGATGCATTTGTACAGACTTCATTGGCCTGGTGGCCTGGTCACTAGGAGCAGCTGCCCTTTCTTAGTCGTCCTGCCCCCACCACTCCTCTGGGTCGCTTGGAGGAGGCTCCCTGGCTGAACTCCATCCCACCCATCCCTCAGACAAGGCCACAAGGCTGGAGTGTGGGCTCCATTTGGCCTGGGGCTGTGAGCACAGTCAGGCTGGGTTGAGGGGAGAGACTCCTCTCTCAGCCTTAGCTCTGCATTGTCTCTGCTAATAATGGGGCTAATAAAGAGCCGCTTTTTCTAACCTAATTGTATTCAAACATTTTAGTTAATTCTCCATTCATATTTTAGCATAATGGGAGCGGGTGCTTTCGGCATTTATGGAGATTAATGCAGAGAAAGAGTTCTGGCCGCAAAGGCAATGTAGGGCGACTAGCGCCCTCTGGTTGCTGTGGGCACTGGAGGATGAAAGGAAGAGGCCGTGCCTGCCCTGTGCACTCTCCACAATCCCTGTGTGGAAGATCCTGGCCTCACCACCCCTACACTCCTGGGGTCAGTAGGGCTGGCCAAGCAAAGCCACTGTTGGCTGGCCCATCTCTGAAATTGTAAAAAAAAAAGAAAGAAAAAATTGAAAACTATGGCCTAAGGCACCCCTAAGACCCAATAGAACATTCTGGACTTTTTGCCTCTTGGTTCTTCACACTTCAAGGCTGATGCTGGAGAGTGGCTGTTCAGGCCTGGAGAAGGCATCCCCAGTGCAGCTGAGCATTCTTCTCCCTTCCCACCCCAGGCTGCTCCCTACCTCAGTATACCTCTCTGTTAAATGGTCCTCTGCATGGGAAAGGATGGTTTTATCTGAGCTGACCTGCTACCCCTGAGCCAGCCACCCCCTGGCCCAGGTCTCAGATGCTGCCGCCCTTGCTGGCTGGCTTCTGCCCTAGACCTCCTGAGGTGTGGGGGAAGAGCTGTCTGCGACCTGAGGCTTCTCCAAGCCCCCCCCCCGCAAAGGAACTGCAAACGTCTTCCTTCATAGTGGCTGCCTGAAAGAGCCATCTTCTGTACCCCCAGCTGGACCTGGCCCTTCCTCAGCCCCTGGGGGAGGGCCTTCTGCAATCTCCTGGCTCCCAGGTTTATCCTGTCTGCTGAGGAGGCCATGACTTTTATAACTAAGTAGTCCGCTAATTACAAGAGGAATATTATACCACTGACAGATCTCAGACAGTGCTTCCAGCCCAGCCTTCGGTCTAAAACTGCCCTGACACCAGGGACAGACTGGGCATTGCCTCCTTAGAAACTGGGTGAGTCCATTGGGTATGGCCACCCACTGGAGTCTGGGATGAGCTGAGCCTTGTCTCCCTTCTGCCCTCCCCTACATGAAGGCAGGAGGCTCAAGCCTTCCCAGCCCTGTGGGTGGGTCCGTGCCGCTAGTTTAAGAAGCTGTCCAATTTCCAATCTCCGGTTTTATCTCCAAATCCCAGCTCTATGTAATCTCTGCTCCCCTCGAGGGTCTGAGCATGGCGGAGGAGCAAGAAGAGCCTTCGCTTCTTGGTTGGTGCAGCTTCCTCTGAGCCTGATAAGACCGCTTGTTTTTCATCTTATTGATCTGACCTTGCTGTGTGGAACACTGAGCCGAGGATGTTATGAGGGGCTGATGGATTTTGGAGGCTGCCTAGGGGAAGGGCTCACCCGGTGTCTAATGTGGATGGGGAGTTGTGCATGTCCTGACCCCCTCCTATGCCCAAGACTGCAGCCAGTAGAACTGATGCTTGAGGGGGAGATGCCAAGAGAGCTGCCCCCTCCCCAAAAGCCAGTAGTATGGGGAAGTCAAGGGTGCTGGTGACCTGGAATGTTTCAGCTCTGGCAGAGGCTGGCGGCTGTGAGGGATTGTGGGTGGAGGGGGTGTGGGGGGCGGGGGCCTGATGGTTGCTCCACTCTCCTCCCTGGCCCCACCAGAAGCCCAGTGCAAACCCTACTACTCAGACTACTCCCGCTTCCGACTCCTCGTTCATCACTTGTGCACCAGCCACTACCTGGATCTCTTCATCACAGGTGTCATTGGGCTGAATGTGGTCACCATGGCCATGGAACACTACCAGCAGCCACAGGTAGGAGTGAGTGACTGGCCGTCTGGCCCCTCGGCCTCCAGCCGCGGGACCCCTCTGCCTTCAGCTCCTGTGTCAGGTGTGTGCTGGGCATGTTACATGGGTTCTTCTTGCAGCATTTATGGATGAGGACACTGAGGCTTGACCAAGGAAGTGGAGGCCCTGGTCCATTCACTCAGCCTGTATTGTCTATCTAGGACTGATAGGCTCTCAGTCCATGAGGATGAAAAAGACAAATTGGTGCTCTCTTGGAGTTTTGATTCTAGTGCATGTCCACCTCCAAAGCTCACACATGATCATGCTGCTTTGCCAATCAGCTGCCCTTGGGGTTTCAGTTTCCACATCTGTAAAATGAGAAGGCTGAATGAGTAATGCATAGGACTCCTGGTGTAGTGCACAAGGTCGGCAGTTCAAACCCACCAGCTGCTCCTCGGAAACTCTATACAGGGTCGCTGTGAATCAGAATCGACTCGACGGCACTTAACAATAAGAAGACCCCTTCTGAGAGGAGCCCTGGTGGAGCAATGGTTAAGCATTTGACTGCTAACTGAAAGGTTGGAGGTTCAAACCCTCTCAGCAGTTCTGTGGGAGAAACGATAGTTCTGTGGTGATGTCCTGTTACGATTTCCAGCGTAAGAAACACTATAAGGCAGTTCTAGTCTGTCCTAGAGTGTCACCGTGAATCAGAACTGATCCAAGAGCCCACAGCAACAAGGCCCCTTCGAGCATTCTGTACCTTCCAGAACATACTAAATCTGGGAGACCAATATGTCAGCTTACCACCCTTAGGATCAAATTCAAAAAGCAGAATCCTTCAGCACAGAATGAATCAGCCATGTGCATAGGGCCTACTCCATCCTGACGTGGTAGCCGGTGGTCTGCCATCTTGGTGGGGACAGAGAAGAAGAATCACTTAGACTCCATCTCCCAGATCTGGGAGGTATGATGGAGGGGGTAGGGCAGCCCTCAGTCGTAGCGACCCCACATCTTGCTCCCACTCCTGCCAGATCCTGGACGAGGCTCTGAAGATCTGCAACTACATCTTCACCGTCATCTTCGTCTTGGAATCAGTTTTCAAACTTGTGGCCTTTGGCTTCCGTCGGTTCTTCCAGGATAGGTAACTGAGTAGAGGGGTCTTGGGGAGTGGTGGGGGAAGCAGTTGTGTCTCCTGGGGATCGAGTGCTTGAAGGCCTTTATTCCTGAGGTCCAGCTCCCATCCTAGGGCCCACTCAGGGCTTTGGTGGGGGTAGGAGGAGGGGAATCCAGGGCCTGAGAAAAGGGAGGAATGGAGGGAACTTGACAAGACAGGACTGAGCCTGGATCCAGACTGCCTGGGACCTGATTTGAATCTTGGCTCCACCACTTATAGTAGCTGATGACCCTGGGTAAGTTACTTAACCTCTCTGTGCATCAGTTTCCACATCTGTAAAGTGGGTGATAGCAGTTGTACTCACAACACAAAGATGTAAGAATTCCTATTTGTAAGGCCTTTTAAACAGTGTTTGGTAAATAGTCAACACAATAGATCAACCAATGGATCAATAGATAGATGATAGATTGATAGATAGGTAGCGCTGACTCATGGTACAACAGAACAAAGTGTTACTCAGTCCTCCATCGTCCTCATGATTGCTGACGTGTTGAAGTCCATCGTTGTAACTATTGTGCCAATCCATTGATCTTGCCGATGGTCTCCTTCACTGTTGGCCCTCTACCTCACCAAACGTATCTTCCTCTGGCGATTCCTTCCTCCTAACAATGTGCCCGAAGCAAGTAAGTTAGTGTTCTGTTGTGACCCAGAGGGTTTACAGAAGTAAGGAGCTCTGGTAGCGTAGTGGTTACGAATCAGGCTGTGAACCTCATGGTCAGCAGTTTGAAACTACCAGCTGTTCCGTGGGAGAAAGATGAGGCTTTCTGCTCCCGTAAAGATTTACAACCTCGGAAACCCTGTACAGGGTCGCTATGAGTCGGAACCGACTCCAGCACATCACAACATTATCAGAAGTCAGTCGATAGGTCTTTCTTTCTCATCTGTCTTACTCTAGAAGCTTCACTGAAACCTGTCCAACATGAGTGACCTGCTGGTATTTGAAATACCAGTGACATAGCTTCCAGCATCACAGCAACATGAAAGCCACCGCAGTGTGACAAACTGACACATAGGTGGTGGAGTAGACACCATGCAAGTGTTAAATCCAAAAAATAAATAAAAATTAAGAGCAGACGCTCATGAGCTAGTCTTTAGACCGGTTTCTGCTGCCACCCAGCTATGCAACGTTAGATAAGTCATCTTCTCTGCAGAGTGGGAGGCTGGACTAGCTGACCTTCAGCCTTCCCTCCGGTCCTTGTATTGTCACAACTGCCCCTCCTCTGCAGTATCCCTCCTTCCTCTCACAAAGCTGTGCCCTGGCTTTCCAGGTGGAACCAACTGGACCTGGCCATTGTGCTGCTGTCCATCATGGGCATCACGCTGGAGGAGATCGAGGTCAACGCCTCACTGCCCATCAATCCTACCATCATCCGAATCATGAGGGTACTACGTATCGCCCGAGGTCAGTGGAGCACCACGACCCTCTGCTAACTGGTCAGCTCTGTGACTGGCCAGGAACTAGCTAGCTATGGGTTCTCACCAGTCTTTCTCCCAGCCTGTGTTGGAGGAGAACGTCAGGGCTGGGCTGAGGGTGGAACCGTGTTTGCCTGGCTGCCCAGTTGGTCATCTCTTAGCTCCTGCATGTGGCTGGGACTCTGAGGGACCTGCTCACAACTCTGTTCTGTTCTGCAGTGCTGAAGCTGCTGAAGATGGCTGTGGGCATGCGGGCGCTGCTGGACACGGTGATGCAGGCTCTGCCCCAGGTAGCTGGAAGGTGGGGGTGGTCCAGTTCTGGGAGGGGAAGTTGCTTTCCAGAGGGCTGGGCCACAGCTGGGGGGTCCTCAGGGTTGTGCTGGGCTGCCTGGGAGATCCAGCGGCACCTTTTCCTTTTCTTTCCATCTTTTCCAGGTGGGGAATCTGGGACTTCTCTTCATGTTGTTGTTTTTCATCTTTGCAGCTCTGGGTGTGGAGCTCTTTGGAGACCTGGGTGAGTTGGGACAGGGAGGGCAGAGGAGCCAGGGCCAGCCACCAACGGGCACCTGGACTAAGCTGGGCCTCTCTCCTCCTTCCCCAGAGTGTGACGAGATGCATCCCTGTGAGGGCCTGGGCCGGCATGCCACCTTTCGGAACTTTGGCATGGCCTTCCTGACCCTCTTCCGAGTCTCCACTGGTGACAACTGGAATGGCATTATGAAGGTGAGCACCCCCTCTACAGTGGGGTGTCCCCCAGGACTGGTGCAGACCCCAGGGAGGTAACCCCACTTCTTGAGCCCAGATTCCTAGGGAAGAAGAATTACCCATGAATAAAGGCTTGTGACCTTCTGCCTGCCATTCCAGAACACTCTGAAACTTCCCCCTTCTCCCTAGAACATGCTTTGACTCACATTCCCTCACTCCTCGATGCCCCCCTCCCCTTTTTCTCCTTCCATGCTGTGTGCACTGCCTGCCCTCCCATCTCACCCCTGTACCTGCCTCCCCAGGACACCCTCCGGGACTGTGACCAGGAATCCACCTGCTACAACACCGTCATCTCCCCCATCTACTTCGTGTCCTTCGTGCTGACGGCCCAGTTTGTGCTGGTTAACGTAGTGATTGCTGTGCTGATGAAACACCTAGAGGAGAGCAATAAGGAGGCCAAGGAAGAGGCTGAGATCGAGGCCGAGCTGGAGCTGGAGATGAAGACACTCAGCCCGCAGCCCCACTCGCCACTGGGCAGCCCCTTCCTCTGGCCTGGGGTTGAGGGACCCGACAGCCCTGACAGCCCCAAGCCTGGGGCCCCACACCCCAGAGCAACCTCAAGGTTCTCCCTCGAGCACCCCACGGTGAGTTACATTCCTCCCCCACCAGGGGCAGTACAGAGAAAGGACGTGTGGGGAGGGTGCCCAGCATCCCATGGGCTCATCCTGGTTACTGTGGGGTCAGTAGCCCACGTGTCTTCCCCCAGAAATGGCTGCCACATTCACTCCTACAGGGCCATTCCCCCCACCCCCCAAAAAAAACCAACAACCCACCAGCACACCAGCAGATGTGCTGGTTCTGCTGTCTCGGCTCCTCCAACCTGGCCTGGCCTCCACTCCCAGGCTCCTAGATCAAGGCTAAGCTTTCTGTTTCTTTCCTATTTCTCTCTTCCCTGTGCCCACTTGCTGAACCTCTTTTCTTCCCACCCATCCACCTGGCGGATCCCCTTTCATCCCTCAACCCTGTGACCTCTCTTTCCTTCACTCTTCTCATCTTTGTCTCCCATCTCTCCCTCTTGCCACACCTTCCATCTTCCCCATCCTTCCTCGTTGTCTTCTATCTCTATGTTGCTCTGTGTGTATGTGTGTGGTTGTGTGGCACATGTGTCTCACGCCTCTCCCTCTGTCTCTCACCACCCCCTGCCACAACACCTCCCATCCATGCTACCTCCCAACCCCTCATGGGCTGGTCCTCCTAGGACAGACAGCTGTTTGACACCATATCCCTGCTGATCCAGGGCTCCCTGGACGGGGAGCTGAAGCTGATGGATGAGCTGGCGGGCTTGGGGGGCCAGCCCTCTGCCTTCCCTCCCGCCCCCAGCCCGGGCGGCTCCGACCCACAGGTTATTGTACCCTGTGCTGTGCCCCATCCCCTGACCGTGCCGGGCTATGCCATGCTTTGCCATGCTTCTAGGGAGCTGGGGGAGGGGGTGCCCTGCCCACTAAGCAGCTGGAGAAAAAACAGCCTTGGGGCCTCGGTTGAGCTTTGGGCTTGGGTTCAGGAGGCAGCCAGGGGTTCCTTAGACTGGGCTCAACCCCTAGAACACATATTTAAAGGGCAGAGAGGCTGAGATGGGCACTTCTGAGGGAGAAGGATGGGCAGAGACAGCTAGGTGGGGGGATTTGTAAGGACCTGGGAGAGAGAGGGCATGGGAGCAGAAGGTGAGCTGTCAGCGGGGTCTGGGGTGGGGAGTGGAGAGGTGCCAGAATTGGGAGATAAGGGTCTCCAGGGTCCCATGGAAGGACTTGTCTTTGGCAATAGTCCACTCCCTCTGCCCAGCACCCCCACAGTCTTCTGGTGGGGCTTTTAAAGCCATAAGCCCATTGGGCATGCTGAATGCCATCAGTAAATCATTGACCTTAAGAAGGCTGACCTTGTCCTGAAAGGGAATTGGAGGCTTCAGCCTGGGACTGGTCTCGGGACCTTGGTCTGCATTGAACTTGGCTGCCACCCTGAGCCCAACTGCTGCCCACAGCGCCTTCACGGTCCCTCTCCCTCAGTCCCATCTGACCCGGACCCTCCTGCCCACTTCTTCTCCACTGGTGCCTTGTCCTTCTGCCCTTGCCCCTCCTCTTCCCAGATAGGGCATACCTGGAGTGGGGACAGGGAACCAGGTGTCAGCTGGAGATGGAAACATCTAGCCCTTTTGGGTGGAAGGGTGGGAAAGCAGTTTTGAGGGGCCTGGGAATCCTTTTGTGTGATCAGTAACCTGCATGTGGGATAGCAGGTTGCCTCCAGAGTCCCTTCCTCTTGTTGGGACTTAAGTTTTAAAAGATACTGGGACCTAAGCTGGTAGCAACAATCCTAGATGATAATCAGGAAGTCAAAGGCTTCTGGGCCCCTGGGGAGAGTTGGCAGGAGAGAGAAAGATTGGATGGGAGGGATCAGCACAGCCAGCTCACCCGGTAGGCAGACCCTGCTCTCACTGAGGGTCCAGAGGATCCTGCAGACCCCAGGTGAGCCAGCTAGACAGTGTCACACACACACACACACACACACACACACACACAAGCCCAGTTCAGATCAGCGGGAGGAGGGGGCAGGCCGGCAGAGGCAGGCGGAGGAGGGCCCCAGGAGGGGAGAAGCCAGAATCTGGGGGCAGGCCAAGTCCTGCCAGGCTTTTGGAAGTAGAGAAATAGGCAGAAAACAGCCATCAGATTGGCTGTATTGTCCCCAGCACCCCCCATGCCGCTCTGTCTGTGCTGAGAGGAGAGACAGCGCTTTGCTGGCTTTTCTTCACATTTTCTTTTCTCTCTCTCTCTTTTTTTGGTATCATCTTTGTGAGATTGCAGGCCCTCTCCCTCCCTGGGTGGTGGTAGTGTGGGAGGGGGCGGTGAAGGTTCCTGGGGTCTCTTTAGAATGGGGTTCTGTGTCTCCTCGCTTGGCCAGCGCTCTTGCTCTTTGGTGCCTGCTGCAGCCGCTCTGGTGAGGGCAGGGGGTGAGGTGGGTGCGGGGAGGCGCTGACAGTTTATTTGGGAACGAACGGGGTGGGGAGAGACAAGGGATGCCTTTTTTACCCATGCTTTGTGAAAAAGAGGGAAGGGGGGCTGAGCTTGAGTGAGCGTGTGCACTGTCCTGGTTTCTTACGGCTGATCATCTCTCTCCCTGTCTAGATCCCTCTAGCTGAGATGGAGGCTCTGTCTCTGACGTCAGAGATTGTGTCTGAACCATCCTGCTCTCTAGCTCTGACGGATGACTCTTTGCCTGATGACACTCACATATTCTTACTTAGTGCCCCGGAGAGCAATGTACATACACACAGCCCCTCACCACCCTCCCAGTCACCTCAGGGGCTGGGCTGCCCCCAGGGTTCCAGATACCTTCTGCCCTCTCGCTCTGCCCCAGGCCCCCACCTCAGACACCAGTCAGCAGGCACCTGATGCCCCGGTCTTTGCTGGCAGGTCTCCCACTATGGATAAAGAAATTAAATAAGATTAAATTGGAACCTTGCCCTGAAGGGCATAGGAGTGACAGTTGTGAAAGAGTTAACCCAAACACCCAGGAGTGATACAACCTCCAAACAGAGGAGGCATCAGACAGCTGCCCAAAGGACCTGTATTTGGAGCCCTGTGCAAACCAGCCCCCCCCCACACCCCTCCTTCCTGCCTCTCCCCCCAACATGAGACATTCACCAGCACGTAGTGTGTGAGAGCCACATTTCTGCTGCCACCACCATGCTCTTCTCCCTCTGGAAGCTCTTCTTGTCTCCCCTCTCTGTCCTTGTGTATCCCTGCCTTCTCACCAATCTTGGGGGGTTTGTCTTTGTGTTCTGACAACTTCTTACCTTCTCCTGCTCCCACTTGGACACAGGAATCAGTAGCTTCTCTGAGAAGGAGGAATGGAGGGGTCCGGAGACCACTGGAGGAAAGTGGGTTACAGGGTGATGGAGAGGCCACTTGAGAGCAAGTCTTGGTCCCAATCTGTCCTGAGGGAGGGGAGACCCCAGGCCTGAAACCAGAGCTATTAAGTTATCAATGGGGAGACCTCTAGTGTTCGTCATCCATCCAACCGTAAAAACTCAAGTGGTGAAAAACCCTCTGCCCTTCAGGCTCTCCTGGGCTGTCATGTTTCCTGCTGACTGGGAGGACCCGCTAGCCTCCCCTAGCCCCCTTACCCAGTAGCTTTGGCCAGGAGCTATGAGAGAGGGGCTTCTCTTAGCTTTTATCCCACCTCTGTGCTGCTGTAAGTCAGGGCCTCACCCCTGAATACCAGACCCCCTCAGAGCCTCTATACAGGTTCTTAACAATGAGCTCTATAGCTGCCTGCAGGGTGGGGACTGGGGGCTGCCCTCCCTCCACCCTCACACAGGATGCTGCTAGGCACTGCCTTGTGGATCAGTTTCTGGGGGTGGAGCCTTCTTCTCTGTGTGTGGAGCGCCCATCTGTGTGTCTGCTCCTCCCCACTGCCATGCCCATCACAGCCTTGTCCTGGGAGGGGGTTCTGGTTTCTGTTGTCCAGCACTGCCCCAGTTACCAAATCTGGATGCCTCTGTTCCTCCCGCCTCCCTCCCCTCTTCTTTTGCAGATGGAGCCCCGCCCTGGAGCGGTACCAGTCACCCTGGGACCTGACCTACTGACCGTCCGGAAGTCTGGGGTCAGCCGCACACACTCTCTGCCCAATGACAGTTACATGTGCCGGGATGGGAGCGCTGCTGAGGGGTCCCCGGGACACAGGGCCTGGGTGCTCCCCAAGGCTCAGTCAGGTACCAGGGCTAGGGGCACACTGACTTGGCTCACACAGGGAGACCCTGTCCTGACCTGGAGGCACTGAGGCAGCAAAAGAGGTCTTTCTACCTCTGGGGAGCCCCCAGCTTGAGGGGTATGGTTTTCAATCCAGGGTTCGCCTCTGTGGAAAGGGGAGGGGCCCTGATAGGGAGGGAGAGTGTCAGGGAGGGGATTCTGGTGGGAGCCAGGGCCGGTTGACCCTCCAGCTCATCTCTCCCTGCCCCCAGGCTCTGTCTTATCCGTTCACTCCCAGCCAGCAGATACCAGCTACATCTTGCAGCTTTCCAAAGGCACACCCCATCTGCTCCAGCCCCACTGTGCTCCCACCTGGGGCACCATCCCCAAACTTCCTCCACCTGGCCGCTCCCCATTGTCTCAGAGGCCACTCAGGCGGCAGGTGAGCAGGTGTGGAGAGGTGGGCGTGACCTGGGATTCCTAGACTTGCTGATGATTTGAGTAGACAGTTAATTCTTCCAGGAAATATTAGGGTGTGCATCGGTGATGTGCCAGAGTCCTGGTATGGCGTTATGGGTTAATGTGCTAGACTGCAAGGTCGGTGGTTCAAGCTCACCCAGCTGCTCCTCAGAAACCCTATAGAGAGGGTCGCTATGAGTCGGAACTGAAATTGATGGCACTTAACAAAAGTGTCATGCCACACTCTGTCCTGGGTACCAGGGTGGTCTGTGCCCTCTTGGAGCTCCCACCACCACTGTTTCCAGTGCAGAACGCTGGAGGCCATAGGGGACCGGTCATTGTCCCAGGACACATCACGCTGACTTACTTTGTCAGGAGAATCCAGGTCTCTATTGCTGTCTGCACTTTTGGACTTAGCTGAGGGGTACAAGTAAAGTTGTAAGTGTCTGCGTTTTAGACCAAACCAGAGGCCACCTTCAGGAGCTCAGACTCAAGGGACTCCAGAGCAGCAGTTCACACAGCCAGGTGAGGGCACAAGTCCATGGGAGAGTAGACGCGACCTCCATCTGTTCTGTACTGCGCAGCCTCTGTGCTAGGCAGTGGAGACACAGATCCTCACAGCCCTACCACCACCACCAGCCGCCTTCCAGTCAGTTCCAACTCGTGGCCCATGTGTCTAAGAGTAGAGCTTTGCTCCAAAGAGTTTTCAATAGCTGGTTTGTTTAATTTCTTAGAATCGTATTTTATTATTTTTTGGTGAAAATTTACACAGCAAGTTAGTTTTCTCTTTGACAATTTCCTCACAGATTGATCAATGACATCAGTTACATCTTTCACATTGTGACAGCATCCTCATTCATTGTGTTCTGGTTGTTCCATTTCCAATACTCTAGTTTCCCTGCCCCCTTATAGACATACAGAGCATATCAGATAATGACAGAAACCTCAACAGGTGCTGTGCAGCGAGGAGCAAAGAGGAGAAAGGGGTCAGTCACACTTAGGGGTGGAGTTTGTCAGCAAGTGCATCACAAAGAACCAGAGTCCTAATGGGCGCTTGTCAATCTGGAAGGGTACTCAAGGCTAAAGGAGGAGCATGGGCAGAGGCTGCCAGCCAGGAAGGAGCCACCTGGGGAGCAGAGCTGGCCTGGCTGCTGTTTTGCATTTTGGGGATGGGGCTGCAAAGAGCTTTTTCTATAGGGAGGTCAGGGCCTAGGGAAGGGGAAGGAAGACAAACTTGAGGTGGGGGAGGAAGCATGGTTGACCATAGTGGTCAGCCTGCAGATGACCCCGTCTCCTAGCAAGATAGACTACCAGGACCCCTGCTTCAGGTAGTCCTGCGTCTGCATGGGGGCAGGGAGACACCTGACTTGACCAGCAGGACAATCCACAATGGAGAAGAAGCTCTGTGGCTGAACCCTCTCCCATCGCCCATACAGGCTGCAATAAGAACCGATTCCCTGGATGTGCAGGGTCTGGGCAGCCGGGAAGACCTGCTGTCAGAAGTGAGGGGGTCCTCCCCACCTCTGACCCAGGCCACCTCTTTCTGGGGCTGGCCAAGCATCCAGGTGCAGCAGCACGTCCGCAATCAGAGCAAGATCTCGAAGCACATGCCCCTTGCAGCCCTCCACCCAGGCCCAGAGCCCAACCGGGCCAGGGGCCCACCGGAGACCAGCAGCAGCTTAGAACTGGACACGCAGCTGAGCTGGATTTCAGGGGACCTCTTGACAGTCGGCAGTCAGGAGGAGCCCCCTTCCCCACGGGACCTGAAGAAATGCTACAGTGTGGAGGCCCAGAGCTGCCGGCACCGGCCCGCATCTTGGCTGGATGAACAGAGGAGACACTCCATTGCGGTCAGTTGCCTGGACAGTGCCTCTCAGCCCCACCTGAGCCCTGGCTCCTCTAGCTTTGGGGCTCAGCCTCTTGGGGGGCCTGGGAGCCGGCCCAAGAAAAAACTCAGTCCACCCAGTATCTCCATAGACCCTCCGGAGAGCCAGGGTCCTCGACCCCCACCCAGTCCTGGTGTCTGTCTCCGGCGAAGGGCTCCATCCAGCGACACCAAGGATCCCTCAGCCTCGGGCCCCCCTGACAGCATGGCTGCCTTGCCCTCCCCAAAGAAAGACGTACTGAGTCTCTCTGGTTTATCATCTGACCCAACAGACCCGGACCCCTGAGTCCTACTCCCCTCTCCCATTTCCCTTTCTCCACTGGGTGCCAAATCCTAGCCCCTCCTCCTGGGCTATATTCCTGAGAAATGTCCTTATAGACACCAAGGAGGCGCTCCTCTTTGCCTCAGTGACGCTGGGCAACACCAAGCAGAATTTCCAGAGTGAAAGACAGCCGTCCTGGCGACTCTGACCAGACAGAAAGAGAGAGGCCCAGTGCCACTGAGGTTCCCGACACCAGGAGCTGTTGGGAGCAAGCAATATGTTTGTGCAGAATCTCTATGTATATTCTATTTTATTAAATTAATTGAATCTAGTATATGCGAGATGTACGACATTTTGTGACTGAAGAGACTTGTTTCCTTCTACTCTTATGTGTCTCAGAATATTTTTGAGGCGAAGGCGTTTGTCTCTTGGCTATTTTACCCCAAAATAACCAGTCTAGTTATATTCCCTCTTCTTGCAAAGCACAAGCTGGAACCGAGAGCTCAGCACCACCCCAACGGTGGCTCATCTACGGCGGAAAGTAAGAACCACTTTGGAAACTGTAATGTAACTTATTTTCTCCTTTAACCTCATCATCATTTTCTGTAGGGGGGAGAAAAAGAGAGAAAGGGAAAGCAAATGAGATTTTACTAATGAAATGGAACCTTTTTATATATACATACATACATATCTATCTATCTATATACCTATATCTACGTCTATATATAAAATAAAGTAATTTTCCAAAATAAAAAGTTAATCACCGTCCAGAGTACAAAGTAAAGGGGATGGAGAGTTAGGTATATCCACATGGCATTGAAGAAAGATTCCTAGGAATGGGAGCAGAGGGCGGGAAGGGAAGGGTTCAAAGGGTGTGTGTGTGTGCGCGCGCGCGCGTGTGCGTGTGCGTGTGCGTGTGTGTGTGTGTGTGTGTGTGTGTGTGTGTGTGTGTGTTGAAAGAGTGGAGCAAACACAATGCCTGGCCCTGGAGGAGAAGGCCCTTAGCCGGGTCTTCTCTTAAAATAGTTTCGCTTTTTCTCAGCCCGGCAGTTGTGTGAATGTGAGTAATTTCAGATTAACTGTTATTCCTGCGGACAGCTATCAGCCACACATTGAAAGCTGGAAACTGACATAGTGAAGCTGTTTTGGTTAATGGGACTTACTGAGGCTGGGGGAGGTTGGAGGAGGTCTCAGCTTCTGGGGATTTGGAGCTGGGGTTGGTGGGGGAGGAGCGAGCATGTCTGGGTTTTCCTTCTGGAGGTTTGGGCTGGGTGTGTGACCTGAGTGGGCTGGACTTCAGCCTCCCACCTGGGGGCGCACTGCCTGCTGACTGTGGAATTGAGCCTTGTGAACCTGGGCGGACTGCTCCCTCCCCAGGGCCTAGCAGCCAGGCTGCTGAGTGGGGAGCTGGCTCCCTGGGGGGTGATAAACTAGCTCCATCAAGGTGTTTACAAGGTCTGCTGCTGCCGGCCCAGTGGGAGCCAGCCGGGTAGGGAGGAAGGTGAACAGCGTGGCTGACCTTCCCAGTGCAATATTGTATAAATATTGTCTAAAACCCTGGTGCACAGAGGCAGTGACAGAGACTCAGCGAGCCTGCCCCCTGCCAACCACCCCAATACATCTGCCCCAACTCCACTCCCTTGAACATTTGCAGCCCCTGGCCCCCCAGGGTCTTTGAACCCCAAGATTGTTAAAACCTCAATGGCAGCCCTGCTAAAGTGGGCACCGGGGAGCCTGGAGTGCCTGGTTGCTGGAGAATGCTTTTTCAGATTGCTCTTTTGGACTGAAGGGATATCACTCCTGTAAGCATACACCTGCTTTTCTCCTCTTGGACTGTGCAATGATGTTGAACTCTTTTTTTCTCTGGCTCCTCAGGTGAGAAGAGGAAGGATTTGTAGAATGTTTTTTTTTTTTTTTTTTTAAAGCAAAACTACAAAATTCATGCCCGTTTCCAGTTTTTTGTCACCTGGGCCTTCAGATTAAGCTTTTATATTTAAAAATTTTATATTTATAGAAATCTCTAACTGCCTGTTCCAAATGAAGGTGGGAGATTTGGGTAGGGGAGCTCTGGGGTCTTTTTTCCTTCTGGTGGTTGGAGGATTCTAGGTCAAGAGAAACTTGGCGGATTGATATCACTCCGTCCCACCAACCCGGCCCTCTCAGAGGACCCACCATGCCCCGCCCCTTTCAGTCACATGATCCTGTAAGCAGATTTACTTAGGCATCTCTGAAGATGCCTTTGGTCCTCTCTTCCCAGTAAGGGCCAAGGCAATTTACTAGGGGTACATTGGTTATGATTTTGAGTGTTCTCCAGAGATCTGCTGTGGTTAGTCTGTGAAAAGAGAACAGTACCTGACCTCTGATTGGAGGGTTTCTCTGGACCGGAGCAGTGCCTGCGGGGGTGAGAGTGGAGGAGCATCTTGGTAGTGATTCAGAAATGATAACAGAATTGAGGAAGACAATTGTGACCTATCCCCCAAACATGTCAAATCTTTATCAATGGTGGAAACTTTTGTGTTTCATTTAAAGGGTTTTGAAGTGGAAATAATGACGCTGCTAAATCCTATTAACACTAGTAATAATAACAATGATGCTAACCTTGTGATGCTTGTCTGGGTGGTTATTTGATTAGGTTCCAGAATGCACAAGTGGGGGTGGAGAAATCTGGGAGAGACAGCAGGTCTTAGTTGAGGGCCACCAGAGATGTGGGGACTTTGGGAGGTAAGAACATCTCTCCTGGCATTTCTGCCCTCAGCCTTCTTGGAATTCAGAGGGAATTCTGCCAATGGCTGCGGCCCCCACCTTGGGCTTGGCTGCTTTTGATTCCTCCACCCCCAAGACTCCAGGAAAAGGTCTATCTGGGGGTGGGGGGAGATGAGCTGGTGCTAAAAACAAATTCGAGGCTCATATGCAGTCTCTCACTTACTCCTCTCAACATCCTAACAAGAGAAGGCACCATTGCTAGCTTCATGTTTTCTATGAGGCAATGGGTTCAGAGAGGTTGAGTGACTTGTATAAGGTCACACAGCCAGGAAATGTCAGTTAGGATTTAGCCCTAGGTCAGGCCAAGCTCCAGCCATTGACTTCACACTGCCCCAGCCTCTTCCCATGGAGGAGGGAGTGAGACAGAATGGGATGAATCCTACATGAAAAATGACTCTTCAGCGGTTCTTTTCCAAAGCAGTCACATTTGTGTTCCTATAACTGTGCACAGGTGTTTCCAGCCTGGCGGACTCAGAGACTTAGGCCCACCTTGTCTCCCAGCTTTGAGCACAGGGCACGGTTAGGAGGGCGCTCAACCACAGGAGACTGTGTCCCTCAATTCCTCGTGAAGGGCAATCCAAGGCCCCACCCTTTCCTGAGAGTCCTGTCCTTTGACCCCCTGCTACTTGTTCTCTTTGCTCTCTTCCTACCTGTACCCCTGCCCCACCCAGGCCTCGCCCACTTTTCAAACAGCCTTTCCCTTCATTGTCATCCCCAGCCACTCCCGTAACAGCCTGGTGCCCACAACCTCCCTCCCTCCTGTCTCCTGGGCCCGCTGAAAGGCCCAACCCATGGGACTGGCAACGGCTTGCAATGAGTATTGGACACCAGGTGGCAGTATAAGGCACCCTTGCCAGATTGCTACCCTTGTGCCCTTGCTGCAGAGGGAGCAAGCTAGGGAGACACCAATACTGATGGACACTTTCCATGGACAGGTCACTGTATAAACCCCAAACAAAGAAACAAATGGGTTAGCAGGACCAAACAACTAGTCTGTGCACAGCAAAGTCCAGACTGAAATCCCAACTACTCAGCCTGCCTTGCCCAGAGTCCTTGCCGAAGACCAGTGATCCAGCACAAATCCAGGGCAGCAGTCAGTTTGGAAGTGGTCTACCAGCCCCTTTAAGGGAGGTGATTCAAGGAGGCAACTGCAGGGCGAGTCACAAGAAGGAATTCCGCGAAGCGCTCTGGGTTTCGGAACTCATCTTAGCCCTTCCAGGTGTGGGAGCTGCTGACTGTGGCCAGTGAAGCTAATTCATTCTTTGCTTTGAAAATTCCTGACTCTGCGCCAGAACCAGTGCTTACTTGCATGCTAAATCATATGCAAATGCAGTATGGGGGTGGAGGGATGGCCCCTTGCTGAGGGTCACAGAGGGGCCAGTACGCCCCCACCAGGCTGGAGACTGGAGGAAATAGGACGGCAGTCTGAAAGGTGAAAAGGAGGCTGGAGTTGGGGAGCTGGAGGCCAGTTTGGGGATGATCCAGGCCTTCTAGGAGCCAGAGCGAGCTACAAGGAACCTAGTGGCCTGACTCTGCCTCTCCCCCGCTGTCTTGTCTATTCCAATCCAGCTCTTCCCCTTTGCAGCATTTCCTGTCTCTGGGTCTCCCATCCACCTACTCTCCCTCCCTCTCCCCCACTACCCTGCTCTGCTGTCATTCCTGTTCTGAGCTGTACCTTGCAATTATCTTATCTTTCCCTCTCCTTGCCAGGAAATCCCTGATGCTGGATTCCCCTGGGATGCTCAGTGGCGGAGGAGGTGCAGCACATGCTCTGTGCTCTCTATTCATTCTCCTGGAGCTTCAGTCAGCTGGGGACAGAGGAGGGGGCTTGGCCTGAGACTTGGGGAGCTATGGTCATTTCTCTGCTTCAGTTGAGCCCCTGGGGTCCTTTTTGCTCCTCTCAGGAACCCTCCCGTTGGACACATCTTGATTCTGGAAATCTGGGACTGTACCTAATGCCACTATCTGACCTCTTCCTAGGAAACTTGTTCAGCCAGTCCACAAACTGAGGGTTCACTTAGCCGGGCATTGTATTGGGTACTAAGGATAGAGATAATCACCTGAGACCTTAACCTCAAGGTTCAAACTCACCAGCCACTCCTTGAAAATGCTATACAGAGTTAGAATGGACTTGGTGGCACTTAACAACGACAACCTCAAGGTGTTCATAGTCTTCTGGGGAAGGTGAATTAGACAGTGATTACAATACAGAGAGGAGAGAGGCATGTGTGGGGGAAGGGTTCTTACCCCAGGATCAGGGTAGGGAGTTCAAGGGATGCTTTCAGGAAGGAGAGGGGGCTTGAGCAAAATCTTGAAGGATGAGTAGTCTGCTGGGGTCAGGAAGGGAGGTGGAGTGTAGGAGAAAGTATATTAAGCAACCTTGAAGAGAGGCTCAGGAGCTGGGTTCAGAAGCTGTGGGTCTCATCTCCCCACTACTCTGTGGTCCTGGGGAAGTTGTATGTCCTCTCAGAGTCCCAGATTTCCTTCCGAAATCTTCTCTGAGGAGAACAAGAGAGTCCTCGGGTATCATGGCTATAGGAAAGGAAGGAACAGTCCCTGAGGATCAGAGAGAAGATAGATCTTCAGAGCAGAGATGACCCTCCAATGCCTCAAGAGAGATGAGGGAAAGCACAAATTGCCAAGGGTCCCCACCACTTGTATGTCAGTTTGCCGTACTGTCGGTGGCTTACGAGTTGCTGTGATGCTAGGAACCATGTTAGTATTCTGAATACCAGCAGGGTCACCCATGGCGGTTTCCACAGAGCTTCCAGGCTAAGACAGACTAGGAAGGAGAGGCAGATCACCTCTGAAAGGTTAGCCACTGAAACCCTTATAAACAGCAGTAGAACATTGTCTGATATAGTGTTAGAAGATGAGCCCCTTAGGTTGGAAGGCACTCAAAATGTGACTGAGGAAGAGCTGTCTCCTCAAAGTATAGTCCAACCTTAATGACTTGGGTGAACTGCAGAAAATGATAACAAATCCATGTAAACCAAAACATGACCTGACTACATCATATCTGAATTTAGAAACTATCTCAACTACAGATTTGGCATATTGGACACTAATGACAAAAGACCAGACTGTTGTTGTTGTTGTTAAGTGCCTTCGAGTCGGTTCCGACCCATAGCGACCCTGTACAGGGTTTCCGAGGGTGTAAATCCAGACTAGCTATGAAATAACATAAAGAACACCATACATGGAAAAAATCACAAGGTTATTGAAAAGAAAGAAAAGACCAAATGAATGTCAGGAAGAGATTCTGAAACTTGCTCTTAAACATAGAGAAACTAAAGTAACTGGAAGAAATGATGAAATTAAAAAGCCGAAGAGAAATTTTCAAAGGGCAGCTCAAGCAGACAAAGTCAAGTATGATAATGAAATGTGCAAAGACCTAGAGTTAGAAAATCAAAAAGGAAGAACATGTTCAGCATTTCTGAAAGAACTGAAGAAAAATATCAAACTGATAGTGCAATATTGAAGGATTCTATGGCAAAATACTGAATGGACACAGAAAACATCAAAAGAAGGTGGAAGGAGTACACAGAGTCACTATACCAAAAAGAAATGATTTATGTGCAACCATTTCAAGAGGTAGCATATGATCAAGAACCAGTGGCATTACAGGAAGAAGTCTAAGCCACAGTGAAGGCATTGGCAAAAAATAAACCTCCAGGAATTGATGGAATACAAATTGAATTTTTTTTTTTTTTACAAACCAACACAGCACTGAAAGCATTTAATTATCTATGCCAAGAACTTAGGAAGACAGTTATCTGGCCCATTCCAAAGAAAAGTAACCCAACAAAATGTGAGAACTATCAAACAATATCATTAATGTCACATACAAGGAAAAATTTTTGCTAAAGATAATTTTTTAAATAGTCACAGTAGTACACAGATAGGGAGTTGCCAGAAACGCAAGCAGAATGCAGAAGGTGTGGAAGGACAGATGTTGTTAATTACAATCAAGTTGGTTCCGACTCATAGCGACCCTGTATGGGGTTTCCAAGGAATAGAAGGAGACATATCAGGGCTGATGTCAGATGGATCTTGGCTGAAAGCAAAGAATACTGAAAAGACGTTTACTTGTGTTTTACTGACTATGCAAAGGCATTTAACTGTGTGGATCATTTTGAACTCTGGATAACATTGCAAAGAATGGAATTCCAGAACAATTCATTGTGCTCATGCAGAACCTGCACATAGACCAAGAGAACAGAACAAGGAGATGCTGAATGTTTAGAATCAGGAAAGGTATGTGCCAGGGTTGTATCCTTTTACCATACTTACTCAATCTGCTTGCTAGACAAATAATCTATTATGATCTTGAATGCACCCATTCAGTGCCTCAGGCCTAGGAATGGCTCTCTAGAGGCAAGATGAAAATGTGGGGACAAAAGAGAAGGGGCTTCAGCTCTAACACTGAAGCCAGAGCTCAAGGGTCCTGGCCCCAAACTGTAGCTCTAATCCTAGTGTAGCACTGCAGGAGAATGCACTGGACTGCAAGGTCAGTTTGAACCGAAAGGTCGGTGGTTCAAACCTACCAGCCACTCCTCGGAAACCCTATACAGGGTGACTATAAATTGAAACTGAACTAGACAATACTGAACAGCAACAAGAACAATTCTTGAATGACTTGGTCAGCTCTGAAGCAGGAGGTCCTTGGGTAGGAGCCCAAGCAGCTTCTGAACAACCCATCTAAGGACGGTCTGCTTGGAGGACACATCTCCTCAAAGGTCCTGAAGGGACGTTTCCAAGTCTCCCGGAGCCCAGGAGCTAGCTTCTCTGGTTTCCGTGGTGTCTACAACATCTACTAGGCTTAGACGGTGAGACCCACCAGGACCATGAGGAAGGCATGGCTGCTGGAGGACCACCAGAGGATGGAGGAAGACACCTGGCTGCTTGAGCCGTAGACTCCTGGATTGTCGGGGCTGGATGAGACCTTAGATGGCATCTTGTCCAAGTTACTCCAGAAACTAGGTTCCAGAGACATCAAGGAACTTGCCAAGGTCACACACGATACAAAAGGCACAGCGTGCAGCATAGAGGAGGGATTGGAGGTGACTCAGTCAGCCCCTACCCTTGGGGACCTCTGAGACTGGCACGGAAGACAGACTCTTCACAACTAAATATAACCAAAGGCACACTGTGACAAGAGTGTGAAAGTGCTGCGAAGGCTTTGCCCAGAGATAGGGACATGAGTGGTAGGGAAGGAGCAGACAAAGAAAGGGATGGGTGGGTTTTGCTCAGTGCAGGGTGAGAGCCTCCAGTCCAGATGCTGAGAAGGCGGAGCCTTGCCCAACTACCCTACTCCCACCCTGGTCCCATTCACATCTCTGTTGTGATAGCCAATGACCAGACTCCCCTTCTGGTGGTTTCCTGCCAGCCCAGAGGGATGGATGGGACCAGCTGTTCCTGTGCTCTCTTGCTGACTCCTGCCCACGCTGCTAAGCAGCCAAGGAAGGAAACACCTTCTTCTGAGACCCAAGGTGGGCATGAGGCAGGGTCGGGGAATTGGGGAGAGATGGGTTGAAGAAAAAGTTCCCTGAGGAGAATTCTTTCTCAACCCCAAGAAGTGGTGGTGGGGACCCTTCTAGGGGCGAGAAGGTGGCAGGAAGTGGTGAAAGGGAGAGGAATGGAGAGATCCCAACATGGCTAAACTAGGGGTGCATAGGAAGGGAAGGCTACTGACCTGAAATTCATTTTACAGAATGTGGAGTACCCCCGCTTGAGGAGCAAGTGCTAATGTGAAGCTCTTCCTGGGGCATCACCTGCCTAGTTCCCCACCCTGAACTAAAATGTTGGCTGCCTTGCAACATGCTTGATGCTTTATATACATTTTCTCCATGGAGTCCTGAGGCCGGCACTGTGATAATCTATTTCACAGATGTGAAAGCAGAAACACAGAGAGACCCTGAAGTGTCAGTTGTGTTGTTAAGTGCCATCAAGTCGGTTCCGACCCATAGTGACCCTGTATAGGGCTTCTGAGGAGCAGCTGGTGAGCTTGAACCGCCGACCTAGTGGTTCAAACCGACTTTGCAGTCCAGAGCTTTAACCCACAGCGCCACACCAGGACCCAAATTAGGGAGCCACAAAACCCTGGGGGAAGGTTGCAATTTAAAAGTCTCAAAGGAGGGAACCTCCCCTTCGCCACACACGCACACACATACGGAGACAGACCAGCAAGTTACTGGGCACTGCTGTCTCTGGCAACTTGTGGTTAGAGGTATTCCGTTTTATTTGTTCGGGAAAGCCCTTCCATTTTACAGATGGCCAAACTGAGGTCCAGAGCTGAACACAACCTCAAGGATTTTGTTCGTGCAGAGTGTTGCAAAAGTTTTTTCCGTGCCTTCTCTGACTCATCGGGCCCCCACAGAGTCGTCCAGGATGGGAGCGGGTGTGTGTGTGTGTGTGTGTATCTCCCCCCACCCCCAAAGTCCCTCCCGCCATGGCCGCAAACTTTGCGGAGGTGCAGTCGCACCCCTCCGGGACAGGAGAACCCGAGGCAGAAGGCCAAGGGTAGGGTTCAGTTGGGGCGGGCCGGGGCGGGGCCCGGCGCCCAGAGCTGCCGGGCTACCAGCGTCCGCGCTCACGGTCCTTATCGCGGCGCCTCTGCCCCATGGACGCTCTGTGCGGCTCTGGGGAGCTCGGCTCCAAGTTCTGGGTAAGGCATGGGGTTCAGGGACCGCTGTGGCAGGGCTGGGGCCGCCGGGGGCCACCTGGTCCCCACCGCCTGCCTTCCTGCGGGGGCCTGGAAGGGCCCTGGCACCGGGAAGCGCTCACTCGCGGAGTTCCCGAGACGGCCAGGTGGGGACAAAGGGGCATTGGGAGGGGGTCAGGCCATGCCGGCCAGAGCCGGTCCCAGGCAGTACCTCGGACGTGCCTTGACCTGCCGTTTCCCCGCCTCATGGAGGAGCCTGGGAAAGCCAGGCGCAAGGCTCCTCGCGGACGCAGTGGATGGAACCCGGAGGTGTTCCCACTTGCCGTCTGGCCTCTTTTGGGACTAAGTGCAGGGCGCAGAAGGGACATTTCCACATTAGCCCAGTCGTTCGTGGACCCTTCGGCGCCTGCCCCATGGGTTGTCCGCCCCTACACCAGGCCCGGGATTCCCCGGCATCCAGAGTCGCATCTCAATCAGGTGTTTTCCAAGGCCGACTACAGGGGCCCCACATTTCTGGAAAGGGCTTCTGCCACCTTCTGGCTGCAGACCTGAGAGCAGGCTGCCCTCACCTCCCTGGTCTCAGGCGAGAGACAGAGACCCCACTCTGGAGACAGGTACTCGGGGATATTGTGGGTTGGGTTCCAGACCACCGCAATAAAGCGAACTTCGCCATAAAACGACCCACATGAATTTCTTTGGGCTTCCCAGTGCTTATCAAATGTATGTTTACAGTATACTGTAGTTTTAGGGTCACTATGAATGGAATGAACTTGATGGCTTTGGGTGGGTAGTCCATGAAGTGTGCAATCACAGTATGAAAAGTGAGAGTTACCAAAATGTAACAGAGACATGAATTGAGCACATGCTTTGGAAAAATAACAGTGCTAAAGGAGCTCTGGTAGCGTAGTGGTTACGAATCGGGCTGCGAACCTTAAGGTCAGCGGTTCGAAACTACCAGCCGCTCCGCGGGAGAAAGATGAGGCTTTCTACTCCCGTAAAGATTTACACCCTCGGAAACCCTGTACAGGGTCGCTATGGGTCGGACCCGACTCGATGGCACTTAACAACAACAACAACAACAATAGAATTGCCACGCTTCAGTTTGTAAAAACAAAACAACACTTTATCCGTGAAGTTCAGTAAAACAGAGGTGCAAAAAAAGGAGGTATGCCTGTACAGAGGCATCAGAATTCCCAGGTCTAAAATCCTATGGCCTTCAAGTTGGTTCTGACTCATAGTGCCCCTCAAGGGCAGAGAACGGTCCCCATGGGGTTCCAAGCCTGTAATCTTTCTGGAAAGACTGCCACATCTTTCTCCTACAGAGTGGCTAGTAGATTTGAACCACCAAATACTTAACCGTTGCCCTACTGGGCTCTTTTTCCAGGTCCAGCCCTCTCCTTTTTATAGACCAGGAAGGGGAGACTCAGAGAGAGGTGGGGTGGGAGGTGCAGGGCAGAACCTTTTGGCTTTCATGTTGAGTCTTACAACCTTCAGTAGACTGTTCCCAGCCGCCCAGCACAGTTCAGGCACACTGAGTAGAGACAGGCCAAGGGCTCTCTTCACAAGAATAACCCTACTGCTTTCCTTGCACCTCTTTGAGTTAAGTAGTGTGGTCTCCATTTTATAGACAAGACTCAGATTCAGGGTCTAGAAGGGTCATCCAGGGATGCACAGTGCAGACTGGTCTCAGTTAATCCTGATCTCTAGAGCTTTGTCCTGCTTAGAGTATTGATACATTTATGCATGGTGGGTGTGTGCCTGATGTGTTCATGTATGTGTGCATGTGTGTGTTACTCACTTGCATATTTGTGTGTGCGGGTGTGAGTGTTATCCACTGGTATATGCATGCATGGGTATGCTGGTGCACATGTGTGCACAGAGGTAAACACGTATACAGTTAGGAATCACGCTTTCAAGCAGTGTTTGAAATGGGCTGGAGGACTACATGGGTTTGTTGAATCTTGGGACAATGGAGTGCCTGGGGGAAAAAGTGTCTCTGGAGACCTCACTACACCCCAGGTGAACCAATTTTGAGAATTAGAGGAATCACTATGGGTGGCAGGACCTGAGATTCCCTGAGATTTGTTGTTGTTAGGTGCCGTCGAGTTGGCTCCGACCCATATCAACCCCACACACAACAGAACACAACACTGCCCGGTCCTGTACCACCCTCACAGTTACACTTGAGCCCATTGCTGCTGCCATGGTGCCAATCCATCTCATTGGGGTCTTCCTCTTTTTCACTGGCCCTCCACTTTACCAAACCTAGTCTTTCTCCAGGTCCCTCCTGATAATATGTCCAAAGAATTCTAAGAGATGAAATATCGCCATCCTGACTTCTAAGGAGAATTCTGATTGTACTTCATCCAACACAGATCTGTTTGTTTCCTCAGAAGAGAAGGGGAAAAAAGAGAAATGAGTTTAGAAGGGAATGTTGGACTGGTAAGGCCTATGAAAAGTGGATTGGCAGGACTGTTGAGTTGGGGGTTCCATTTCCACTGTTTGCTGGGGAACAGGGATTGATCCTGGCTAAATTCCTTACCCTTGGCCCCAATTAAGGATCCCTGGTGGCATTGGACTGTTAACCAAAAGATCATTGGTTCAAATCTACCAGCCAGTCCTCAGGAGAAAGATGAGGCAGTCTGCTTCTGTTAAGATTTACAGCCTTGGAACCCGCTTTCTATGGCGTAGTTCTCTGTCCTGTCGATCACTATAGTCGGAATTGACTTAATAGCAGTGGGGGGTTGGTTCCAGTTAAACCTGAGAGTGAGAGACTCATGGGGTCCTGTAGCTCTGTGAACATGCACCCACCCCCATGCACTCTTACATACTATGTCCTGGATGAATGATTTATTGCACTCTCATAATCTTTTACTCTCACCTCTACCCTCTTGTGGGCAGCCTACCAACAAACATCTCTGAAGAGTGCCTTGTGGGTTTCCATGGAAATAAATTCCAAATGAGTGATTCTGTGACCCAGCTGCCTACGGCTCCTGAGGTCAGAGATGCCTCTAGAACAAAGGAGGTGGTGGTTGTCTCTAACTTGAGGATTACTCTCTGTTGTAAGCAATCGAGGCTGCAGAGCAGCCCGGTAGGGAAGGGTGTACACAGTGCCAGGTTCTGATCTATGGCTCTGGGCAGCTACTGAGAAGCTGGTGTCAACCCTTAATCACAAGGACCTGGCCATCAGAGCTGTCCCAAGATGGCACTCACTGCTTGAGAGCTCCCTGTCACTTGAAGTGTGTAAGCACATGGTTAGTGACCACTTGGTAGGGATGCTGGAGAGAGGATTCAAGCCAGGGCAGGTACTGTGGTCCTACCCTGAGATTTGGTGACAGCTAGGAAGAAGGAAGGTGTTGTTGGATTGGACAATGACCAATTCTCCTCAGATATTTCCAAGCTCCCCCTTTCCTGGTTTTCTACCTGCCCTAGACATGCAACCTGTTGGTAGAGCCTATGGACCTGTGTGGTAAAGGCACCTTCACTGCCCCCTTAGTTGCTCTTCCCTTTACCATGGATTGGTAAAGCCTGGTTCCTTGAAGCTCTGTTCTCTGGCCGTCAAGCAGAGTGTGTTCTAGGTAGTCCTGACTCTGCCACCCATCAGCTGTGTTACCTCGGGCAAGTCACTCTCCCTCTCTGACTCAGTTGAGCTTAGGTGGATTCGAGAGTCCCTTTCAGGTCTAGAATTGTTCAATGATGATTCTGAGAGGATTATTCAAAGCTTAGGGGTCAAGACCATAGATGTTATTATTGTTAAGTGCCATTGTGTCAGTTCCAACTCATAGTGGCTCTGTATAGGGTTTCCAAGGAGTGGCTGGGGGTTTGAACCATTAACCATTTGGTTAGCAGTCTAGTGCTTATCCTACAGCATCACACCAGGCCATGGTTAGGACCCTCCTGGATGGCAGAGTCTCCTGGATTTCCTTTGGGGGTCACTGCCTAGCAGGAGTAGGGGGCCACCCATACATAGGAGTAACAGACAAGATTCCGATTTTAATATGTTTTGACCCTCATATGAAGATAGTGGCATGCATGTACAGCTGTGAGGAAATTGGCAGAAGCAGGACCTCTGAGGTGGGCAGGTGGGTGCCAGGCCAGGGGAAAAAAAGTTTGCCTTCAAATTGATTACAATTCATGGTGTGTGTGAGGGGGTGGGGGGGTACAAATTGACTTCAGGTTGATTCCATGTGTGTCAGAGTAGAATTGTGTTATACAGGGTTTTCAATGGCTGGGTGTTTGGAAGCAGCTCACAGGTCTTTTTTCCCAAGCCACCTCTAGGACATCGTGAACCGCCAACGTGTAATTAGTAACCAGACATATTCCCACCACCCAGGAGTCTCCTGGCAAACCAGGGCTTCTAGAATTCCCTTCCTCCATCCTAGCTGTCTTTGAGACACTCCTGTCCCAGCTTCTGGCTTTCTGGCTGGGGGATTTGGTCCCCAGTGACATCAGACTGGCTGCTCCCTTGTGGCCTGGGTCTTGAGCCTTGGGGAAGGAAGTGAGTCAGGGAAATAATGTTTGGGTGGGAACTGTGCCAAACTGACTTGCTGACTCCCCAGATATGGAAATGGCCTTGGAGCTTGGGGAAGTTCCAGTGGGTCTCCAGTTCACTCACCGAGCACCTAGGCTGTGCCCACCCCTCCCGGGGAGGGGGGTGTCCCAGGTGTAATAGGTGGGATAGAGCCCCTAGGAAAGGGGAAGACTGGGTGCCGGGCCCTTCCCCCAACACTGCTGGGCCCTTCCCCCAACCTGAAGCTGTTCCTGTTTCTGCCATTGGGTCCAGGGATGGTGTTGGCTGGGAGTGGCCAGAGGGTAGGAATGAAGGCTTAACTGTCTGATTGTATTTCTTCTCATAACTGGATATTCAGGTTCCTAATTTAGTGGTTCCCAGGATCCCAGCTAATCAGGTAGCTGGGTGATGGGAACCCCTTCTCTCAAATCCGTGATGAGAGTTGCAAAACAGAGGTGATTTGAGGGTAGATTGTACAGTTGAAAAAAAAAGG